GAAGTTCCTATCTGTCAAATTTGTAATAAGAAAGGTCACATTGATGTTGACTGTTATCAAAGACACTCTTCCACAACTGTTTCTTCATCTCCCGTTCAATGTCAAATCTGTGGGAAGTTTGGCCATTCTGCAATGCAGTGCTGTCATCGAGCCAATTTTTCTTATCAAGGAAGGAGTCCACCCTCTACTTTAACTGCAATGCATGCTGCTTATCAACCATCTGCACCTCAGGAACAATATTGAGTTGCTGACACAGGGGCTACATCTCATATAACATCTAATCTTGCTTCACTCACTAATGCTGCTCTATTTACTGGCACTGATACAATCACTACTGCTAGTGGTTCAGGTTTGCCTATATCTAATATTGGCTCTTCCATTTTACATGCTCCACAATATGCTTTCCAATTAAGGAAGATCTTGCATGTTCCCAAATTGTCTCAGCATCTCTTATATATATATAAGCTATGTAAGGACAACAAGTGTTGTTTTATATGTGATGAATTCAATTTTTGGATTCAGGACAAGATCACAGAGAGACTGCTTGTCTAAGGACTATGTAGAGCTGGTTTGTATCCCATTTCCTTTTACATACCTCAGCACATACTTCATCATGTAGTTAAAACACCTCGCTTGTCCAAACAGCAACATGGGTTCATTGGTCAACAAGTCAAGTCAAGTTTGCGGCACCAAAGATTAGGGCACCCATCTAATGTTGTAGTTTCTACAATGTTAAATCAGTCTCACATTCCCTTTTCTTTAGATTTATCCAAGTCTGTTTGTATAAGCTATCTAGAAGGCAAGTTCACTAAACTACCATTTCCTTATCCAGCTAATAAAACTCTACAACCTTTGGATATTATCCACAGTGATGTATGGGGGCCATCTCTAGCTATATCCATTGAGGGTTTCAAGTTTTATGTGAGCTTTGTAGATGAATATACCAGGTTTACCTGGATGTTTCCTTTAATGAATAAAAGTGAGGTGTTCAACATTTTTGTGCAGTTTTATCATTTCATTTTTACACAATTTTCTGTTTCCATCAAAGTTTTTCAAAGTGATGGTGGTGGTGAGTACTCTAGTACCAAATTTAGGCAATTTTTACTTGATAAAGGCATAACACATCACAAATCATGCCCTCATACCCCTGAACAAAATGGCCTTGCTGAAAGGCTGAAAGAAAGCATAGGCACATTGTTGAAACTGCACTTACCCTTTTACAAACTGCCAAATTACCTTCTAAGTTTTCGTTTCATGCTTGTGCAACTTCTGTTTATCTTATCAACAGAATGCCTCGTCAAAATTTGTCAATGAAGTCTCCTTACACATGCTTATATGGTCAATCACCAATTTTGTACCACTTAAAGGTTTTTGGTTGTTCCTGTTTTCCTTTTCTAAAACCATACAATACCAATAAACTTCAACCCAAAACCGTTCAATGCATATTTTGGGTTATGATGGGCAATACAAAGGGTATATTTGTTTTAATCCTTTATCTGGTAAATTGTATGTCTCTCGGCATGTGCTATTTGATGAACTAAGTTTTCCATATGCACAACTTAGTTCTATCTCATCTAGTCCATCTTCATCACCTAGTGTGTCTCCCACTGTTCTACCTGCATTAGTTACAGGACAAAATATTGTTGTTGCACAATCACCATCTTCATCATCTTCCCATGCTAACATCTTATTGCATTCAACCCCCAGATTCTTTGCAGAACCATATTAGTGCCTCTGATTCTTTGAATTCTCCCACTAGTGCTTTAGAATCTTTCTCTATACCAAGCCTCACACCCCTACTAGTCTCTACAGATACTACACAGCCCTTAATCCCTGTGGATCCTGATTTTCAATCTAAAGGTCTGCGTGTTGTTCTTCCTGTTCCTACAGTTAATTTGCATTCTATGCAAACACAATCTAAAAGTGGTATATCTAAGAAGAAAGCCTTCATCACATCTGTTACTTCTATTGATCCTTCTCTCATTGAGCCAAAGTATTTTAAATCAGCATATAAAGTTATGGAATGGCAGACTGCCATGAAAGAAGAGATTAATGCACTTTATACTCAAAATACCTGGACTCTAGTTCCTCTTCCTCCTGATAAGAATTTGGTTGGTTGCAAGTGGGTATATAGAATTAAAAAGAACCTAGATGGCTCTATAGCTAGACATAAAGCTCGATTGGTTGCTAAGGGGTATAGTCAAGATGAGGGCATTGATTATAGTGAAACTTTCAGCCATGTGGTAAAGCCAACAACTGTTAGGCTTATTCTTGCACTTGCAGCTTATTTTTAGTGGCCATTGAGACAATTAGATGTCAAGAATGCATTTCTCCATGGTATTTTTTAGGAGGAGGTTTACATGGCACAACCTCTTGGGTTTATCAGTGATCTGCATCCATCTCATTATGTGTGTAAACTTCAAAAGTTCTTATATGGTTTAAAACAGGCTCCAAGAGCCTGGAATGACAAGTTTACAAGTTTCTTGCCTGGAATTGGATTTAAAGCTTCCCTAACAGATCTCTCCCTTTTTGTGCAGCATTCATCTTTTGGTACTGTTATATTGCTCTTATATGTTGATGATATCATCATCACAGTTAGTGATTCTTCTTTGATAGATGATGTTATCTTGAAGCCGACTAAAGAGTTTGAGATGAAAGATTTAGGACAGTTACATTACTTCTTGGGACTGCAAATTTCATATAAACCTTCAGGTTTATTTGTTTCCCAAACAAAGTACATTCAAGATCTTTTGGAGAAAGTGGATATGCAGGATTCAAAGTCTTGTGCAACACCTTGTCTTCCCTATCATCGGCTACTCAAGGAAGACGGCCACCCTTATCATAGTCCTGAGCAATACCTGACCTTTACTCGGCCCGACATTGCTTTTGTAGTGAATCAATGCTGCCAATTTATGCAAAGCCCTATGGAGTCTCATGTTGTTGCAGTCAGAAGGATCTTGAGATATCTTAGGGGTACTATTGATTTTGGGATACATTTCAAGCTTGGAAAGTTACATCTTCAAGCCTATAGTGATGCAGATTGGGCAGGTGATCCTAATGACAGAAGGCCTACCTCTGGCTATGTGGTTTATTTTGGTTCTAGTCCTATCTCTTAGGCTTCTAAAAAGCAACATATTGTGTCTAGGTCCTCTACTGAGGCTGAGTATCGAGCCCTTGCTATAACTGCTGCAGAATTGGCCTGGCTTCGACAACTTCTTTGTGATCTGCAGGTTCCGTTGCTCACTGCTCCTGTGATTTATTGTGATAATCTCTCCACTCTTGCCAAAGGATTAAGGGATGTAATAGTTAGTATGTTAGATTACTTAATGAGTACGCAAATAGAATTGTATAAATACCAACTTGTACTGCTAAATTGAGAGGTTAATGAAAAGTCAATACGAAGAGTATTTCTTAGTTTCCCTCTCTAAAATTCTTCGATTTTCTCACCTTCCTCTTCTGATTCTTTACAACGAATTCATCAGGTTCTTGCATTATTACAGTTGTCACTTTGCAACCATCCTCCTGCCTATACAGTCCTGTCTAATTTGGTGTGGTTCCAAATTAAACACATCGTCATTTATCAGTCTATTAACCCTCATCCGCGGATCCAAAATTTGAACGAGCAATTCAGAGGTTCATTAATTAGGGTTCTTATCTTACAGCCACTGCTCCAATCAAGACGAACCTCTTGTTCCTAATCTATAACCACTGCTTGATAATGTTGATATGGCGGCATCAATAATGTGAATTTGGTGTTAATAATGTCGACATAACATCAATAATATATATTGGTATGGCGTCGTTGATACTAATAGAGTCGATATTAATTTGGTCGTTATATCGTCTTTCACGTAGTGGAAGTTTTTACTGGTATAAAGGGTGAATTATCTCTGCAAAGGGCAAATATAGTAATAACACAAGGAATATGAGTATGTTTGATTAAATTTCAAAACCTGAGTGCTCTTTTATTGAGGTAGACAAATAGCGAGCACTTTTGCCAAAAACCCTTCAAGTTAAACTGAAGCAGCCAGGACCTGAAAGCTGAGGAGATCCAATGCAACAAGGAAAACAAGGGTAACACTGAAATAAGATGTAGTTTTACTAGTAGCCATTGCTGCTAAATTCATGTAATCAATTGTATGAGTTTACTAAAACGGTTTGTGTATGAATGAATGAACCATGCAGTTCTGTTAACCTTATAGGCATGGGAGCGCTAATAATTCAAAAGGTGGCTTTCTTGCATATTAAAAGTGCACTTGCATTAAAAAAATGAAAGCATTGCATCTTGGGTGTGGAATGAAATCAAAATGAAATTCACAGGTTCAAACTCTCTTATCTCCTCTTAGAGTAATTTATAATTAATAGAAATATCGCTTGTATTAAAAAAATGAAAACATGCCTAGCTTTTTAACAAAGAATCTTATATCCTGAATTTTATGGCCTACACTAGTAACAGCATTTTCAAGAACTTTGGCTTCGCAGTAGGAGAGAAATTTTTAGTTGTGACGGGAATATGGATGATACACCATGTGTTTTTATGTTAGTGGTCGGAAATTTTATTTTTTAAGTTATTAACTTTTTAACACAGATATCCCACAATTTATATAGTGACACGTGATGTACCATCCCGTATGACAGTCACACTGAAAAATCTCTCTCGCAGCAGATGTAGTTACATGAAATCGATGTAAAGTTGTTGGTTAGCCAGTGAATGTCCTCAAGAATAGCACGAATCCTCCAAGGAGTCCTACACTTATTTTGAACAGATTCAATAAAGAGCTCTTTTTTGTTAGTGTATCAGCTAATGTAAGAAGTAACATGTACATGTTATGTTAATTAATTAAGTTATCTCACTAGATATTGATTCTGTGCATCATTTGTCACATGAAATGATACTCTAATATGATATAATATGTGATCTCCTTTAGCATATTACCCTTTTATTTATTAACAATGTGGTTCCATGAGTGAAACTAGGAGGGGATGAAATGAGACTAAAGCATATGGTGTCTTATGGCTCGTTTACTAATCCGTAATCAAAATAAGAAGAATTGAATTGAGAGGGAATTGGAATGGGGAGGATTCAAACTCGAATTCTTGTCAAAGTTGTTTACTATAATGTCCTAGAATCGGAGTTGAAATGATATAAGTTGTTTACCAGTTCACTTGAATCGGAATGAAAATTAATATGATTACTAAAATACCCTTAATCTTAATAATAGAAAAATTCGTAACTTTTTAATAAAATTTCACACACACACACACATAGTTTTATTAAAATCTTAACAATTCTCATATATTTATTTTTAATAAAACTTGAACATTTTTTTATTTCTTAAAGACTAAAAACCTAATTCAACAAGGAAACGAAGTAAAAAACTCAAAAAAAAAAAAAAAAAAAAAGGAAGGTACGGGAACCGTTACGGTTCCACCACGACTCTCTCTACTCTCCCCGTCTGCATCCGCATATTGTTTTTGCGATCATCCCCAAGCACCAACTCTTGCCCATCCTAACCTTGTCAGGGGTTCCTATCAGCCTGAAGATCTCCTTTTGGTGGTAAATCATGAACTCCTTGCCTGCGGCCAATCTAGGATTTCTCAACCATTTGCCACCCGCTCAATGCTTTATATTATGCTCTTTGTAAAAACGTCGGCAATCGAAATTCGATCCGCAGTGGGTAAGTCACAAGGTTTTTTTTTAATCTATACTCATCTGCATCTCTCATTCCCCATCCGAATTTGGATCTGCGTGGTGCGGTGGTCTGCGTGGTTAAGGGTGGGGATGGGTGTGCTTTGGGTGGTTGAATTGTGGGAGGCAGATGGGAAGGGCAGGGCAATTTCGGTAGAGAAGTTTGATTTCTGATGTTGGCTTTCTTTTGGAATTCAATTACCACCTTCAAGTTAGTGTTTGAATTCTGGGGATATTAGGAATACGATTAGCGATTTTGGGTGGAGTTCATTAATTTTTTCGTTCCCAAAGTTTGGTAAACGCCGGAATCACTTGGAGAGGAATTCAATTCCCTTTCTTCCACCTCCATTCAGGTTTGGTAAACACGCCCTTAATGCTTGTGTTTTGTGAGCCTGGTTGGCCATACGGCTACAGCGAAATAGATAAGCTTTATTGAAACAGGTATCCAACCAACAAGAGCGGGGAACAATATTGGCCGCTGAAGCTCTATTGCGACGAATTCTAATTTTTAATAAGAAAAAGGGTCCTTAGAAAATAGCTTATATTCGGTGTAGTAAGAGAGCTGAATAAACATAATCAATCAAGACCTTGTTAATTTAATATCATTATATATATATATATTTTTTTTTTTTTTATTTAAGATTCATGGTCGAATACATCTCTTAAATTGTAAATACACACATATATACGTGTGTGTATTTAGTTGGATGCATTTGGACGCAGTTACATGAACCGGCGTTTATTTGTTATTGAGTATAAACCCACAGCTCTGATTATTGTGCTTTTGCTTATATGACTAGAGTACGTGCAATTTGGCCATTTGCTTTTGCAGGGAAAAAGCCGCCAGGCACGTATTCATTTCCTGTTCCATACAGAATCCTCAAGATCTCTGGTGGCGTCCTTGCATAGGACAGCGAGTTCGTGTCCGCTGATAGGACATTCGTGACCGTTCGATTCTCAGCCCCAAGCGTGATGGGTACTATGATGCCTTCTTCGAGGCCACCCCTGGTCACCTTGTTCCCCAATTCAGCAATTCGGCTGACGATATAAGCCACCGTGAAATTGTACGGAGCCACCGTCTGATTCGCTCTCTCATACAGTAATGCACGTAGCACTGCATTTTGTCCAGCCTTCATACCCAAAAGCGATGCACCCAACTGCATACATGTTGAATTACATACGTTACCCAAAAGTTATGGTTAATTAATTAATTGTGAAAAAATGATTAATAGATAGAAATGTTGTTAACTAATTATTAACAAGAACTGTTATAATAAACATTTCTTAATTTATACGTACTCTGTTAGCAGCATCGGCGTTGAGGTTTGCATTGATGTAAACATAACCCACTAGACCATCATAATTCAGTGCTTGCGCTGCTATAAGATAATTGACTGTGTTTGCGTAGGGGTCAAATCGAGGGAGCAATGGGTAACCCAGTGCTAGGTCAACAACTAGTGAGAAAAGCGCACGGCTGAGGTTTATAAGAGGCCTTGGGAACCCGCCTGTTGCCTGAGTGATTGCTCTGAAAATTAATCAGATACATATTATATCTACTATCTAGGGTTAGTCAGAATTAATAAAATTTACAACAGTTGATCATGCACTCTATACCTGATATGACCAACTTGTTCATAAGCAAATTCCTTGATTATTTCAGTCACAAGGGGTTCGAGATTGGCCTTCTGACCACCAATAGGACGCGGGCCCCCTTGGGACAAGTTTGGGGAGATACTATCGAGGTCATTGCCAAAAACACCGTATGAGTAAAACTCACCGTCCAAATATTCCAAGTTCAACATAAACTCTAGGAAGTCACTGTCGTTGGCTGCTTGACCAGAAGCAGTCATGAAATGAAAGCTGAGGAAATTAAAAGCAACAAGGAAAACAAAGACAGCACTGAAATAAGATGCAGTAGAAGTAGGAGCCATTACTGCTAATTTCATGCAAACAATAGTATGAGTTTGATAAAATTGGTTCGCGTATGAGTGAATAAACCGTGCACTTCTACTGACTTTATATAGGCATGCGCGCAATTAATAATACTCTACAAGAAGTCGTTCACTGACCTAATGGTAGCATGGCCGAACCCTTCTAAGTAGAAGCCAAATATAGGATGGTGTCATCAATACATTAATTATCAACAACCAAAAAGAGATTACTTTTTTTTTAGACCCGGCCGTTTCTTACACGCTACGAAAACGATACGAAAATAACGAATTTCGAGTCAACACTGATAACTAATCGGGTTATTATCGGGTGACCTGTTAAGAATCCGTTAATAACGGGCATACACACGGGTAACACGTGAGTAACCCGTTAAGAAAAATAAATTATAATTTTAAAGTTTAATTACTAAAAAATTTATTATAAAATACAATAGCCATATTGTATATATTGGTATATTCTATATTAAATATATTTTTTTATATTATTATTATTCTATATAAGTTAAAAAAAATTCATTTTTATTCATTTATTTTTATTATGAGAGTTTCTCATTATCATTAATAGTATAAATTTTACGTAACATGTTGTTGTCCAAAATTAAATCAACTAGTATAGTATTAGTATAGGCAATAAGACATCCCTACAAGTACGAAAAATGTGAAAGAACATATAAACACTCGTGATTCATCATTCATCCACAAGTAGACAATGGTTACACTTACATTATTGTTTAGATTTTTAAAACCCTCCAAACCGTCATGAATAGTGCTTTTTATTTGAGTGTAAAAGTAATAAAATTAATAATAATTATTGTAGAAGAGTAAGAAATGTAAAAGAAAAATATACAATCACTCGTAATAATAAGCTTTAAAACTTTCATGAAGGAGTCAACTTCGAAATCCGATACTATAATCCATAAACCTTAAATTTGTATTTAACCTTCGATTGTTGTTTAGCCCTTATTCTTTATATTGAATTTCATTTTTAAAATTCTCTTTTTTGAAAACATGATCTTCTGGGGGATGTAGGAAGATGAACGGTTTAGATCTTTGATACCACGTCTCAACATTTACAATTAATTGAAATATGAGTCGATGTTATATAGTTTGTAGAGACTTTAAAAACACCAAACAATATTTTCACTAATGGTAAAACTCTGAACATAATATCAATGATCCGAACCGTTTATCATCCTTTATCCTCTAATAGATCATGTTTTCAAAAAACAAAATTTGAAAAAACAAAATTTGGTGAGAAAAATGAAGCATAAATATAAACAACAATCGACAGTTAAATTTTGATCTATGATTTATATGATTATAATGGCACATTTCAAAGTTAAGGCCTTCACGAAAGTTGTAAAGCTTGTCATTACGAGCGTTTATATATTTTTTCTATATTTTTCAAACTTCTACGTTAATTAAAAAGCTATTAAAGACTTAAACAATAGCCATAGTATAAATGAAAAGAGAGTGCTAATGTAGAAAGCCTCACTGAAAATATGATCAATATAACTCTTGAAGACAATATCAAGCCAAAGTTCCAATACCATTTCCCATGGTGATTGATGAAAATTGAAGAGTTTAATTGTAAGAAAATGTGCAAGGTTCCAAACCTTGAAACATAACTCCCTTAATTTTGCAAATCTTTTGAACATTTGATATTTTGTAATGTTCTAATGTTTTTATTTTATTTTATTATTATGCTCTTATTTTGGGTATGTAAATATGTAATACTTGAAAGACAAATGCGTTTTTATGTTTTGAATGTGATAATATGGTATATATGTCGCATCCCGACCCGGAGCGGATCATTTCCCGGGCCCGCTCCACCACCCTAGCACGATATTATCTGCTTTGGGCTTACCATTCCCTCACGGTTTTGTTTTTGGGAACTCACGAGCAACTTCCCAGTGGGTCACCCATCATGGGATTGCTCTAGCCCCCTTCTCGCTTAACTTCGGAGTTCCTACGGAACCCGAAGCCAGTGAGCTCCCAAAAGGCCTCGTGCTAGGTAGGGATGAGAATATACATTTAAGGATTACTCCCCTGGGCGATGTGGGATGTCACAATCCACCCCCCTTAAGGGCCCGACGTCCTCGTCGGCACACACGCGGCAAGGGTTAGGCTCTGATACCAAATTGTCACATCTCGGCCCGGGGTGGATCACTTCCTGGGCCCAGCTCCACCACCGTAGCACGATATTGTCCGCTTTGGGCTTACCATTCCCTCACGGTTTTGTTTTTAGGAACTCACGAGCAACTTCCTAGTGGGTCACCCATCATGGGATTGCTCTAGCCCCCTTCTCGCTTAACTTCGGAGTTTCTATGGAACCCGAAGCCAGTGAGCTCCCAAAAGGCCTCGTGCTAGGTAGGGATAAGAATATACATTTAAGGATCACTCCCCTGGGCGATGTGGGATGTCACAATGTATATACTTATTTAGTATTATATTTTTCATTTGATTATTTATTGGTTTAAAATACATTTTCCTTAACGGGTAACGGATTGGGTTATATTATCTGTTAATAATATCGGATCGATTTTGGGTCAGGGTCATTTTACTCGTTTATTTTAATGGGTGTTACATGACACGACCTATTAAGATATCAGGTATGACACGAAAACGATATGAACACGGGAAACATGACATGAATGCCAAGTCTACTTTTTGCATTCCTTCTTAATTTTTTTTCTATTTTGTATTGTAGCTTATTAACAAAAAGGTTGGTCTGCCCCTCTAATAATAGTGTGTCAGGAATACAGGGTCGTATATCATATGTCATTCTGCAAGTAGAGATAATTGGTTTTTAGTGTTAGGGTACGTTTGCTCCTCCGTAGGATGGATTGACTTGGACTGGGTTAAGTAAGACTATAATTCTACATTGGGACTCACCTCGACTATGAGTCCTGGCCTCCGTGCTTCACTTAAGCTCTCTATCTAATCCCAAGATTTCGCTTGGTATTAACGAGGACTAGAAAGGAACCAAGATCCAATCCCTAACTTTCCTTGCTAAACCCCAACATTCAGTTCCTTCATGCTCCAGCCTTCTTCTTCTGCAGCGTCGTCACAATGGCCAGGCCGTCGGCGGCGATCCATCTTCTTCTTTCATGCAATGTTTGTGGAGGCACAATCAAGGTGAACCCTAAGCCGAGGGAGGACGACAACGAGCTTGAATAAGGAGAGACTATCAACGACCAAGACTTAGTGGCATTGAAGCCACCGAAAGGAAGACTTGGATGGATTTAATTTTGGGAGTTTTAACAAAAAAGTCCACGGTACTATTCACCTTAACGAAAAACTACATTTTTACACTAGTCAACCCTGGTACTATTCACTTTACCCTTTATTTTGTCCTTATCGTGAAAACTTAAAGTTTTCAAGCTCTTTTCATTAGTTTTTCTTTTAATTTTGGGGTTTTTTAACTTTAATCCTTGAAGAAAGAAATTTAATAAAAACTTGGTGTTAGATTATATATTGATTATAGTTCCTTGATGCAGTCCTTAATTCAGATTAATTAATGTGTATTTTATTCAACATCTCCCATTAAATATTTAAATTTATTAACATCCACATTTAAATTTATTTTTTGACCCAAAAAAAGTTTTTTTAATTTATTAATTTTATTTAATGTTTGTACCTAAATGTATCTCTCGAAATGTTAGTACCGGAATGTAATATATTCAATTAATGTACCTAAATGTCAGTACCGAAATGTGCTATATTAAATTATTGTACCTAAATGTGTGTACCAAAATCTATGCATTGAAAATGTATGCACTGGAATGTATACACCGAAATGTATTATAGGATTAATGTACCTACATGTTTGTATCGAAATGTATGTACCGAAATATGTGTACCTAAATGTATGCACCGAAATGTATTATAATGAATTTAATATACCTAAATGAAGAAGACAAAGTATATCGAAATATATTGTATAACAAAAAATAGTTTATCTAAATGTTTACAAACAAATATATTACGATGAATGAAATGAAAATTATAATTAGGGAACTGTTATTGACACTCCAAAAATCTCATTCTACACTCCAAACTTACTATATTTGGAAAGAAAAATACACTTGTGAGGAGTGTAGAATGAGATTTTTGGAGTGTCAATAACACTTCCCCATAATTATAATGAAATATAATTAGTCATTAAAATTAGGAAGAAAAGGAGAAATAATTAAAACATCAAAATAAAATTAATAAATGAGGTGATTAATGTATCAAGGGACCAAAATTAGATTTTGATCTTACTCATAATTTTAATATAAAAGTCATATTTGCCAAAGATTAGAATGAAATTTCCTATTTAATTTTTGGATTTAAACATGAGTTTTGGAGTTTTGGGTTAAATTTTGTTAGGTTGGTAGGAAAACTTAGATGGATTTGGCGTGTTGCAATGCGGATTTCTGGGAAATTTTGAGGTTATATTCTTTCATTTCCATTTTTTGGGTTTAATTTGTTTGTTTGTTTTGGGTTTCGTTCTGGAGTTCTGAACCTTTTAGTTTGGTATCAAGTACAAGGAGAAGGATTCTCTACTCTCCTATCTCTTTACCCTTTCATGCCCTCCTATTTAAACAGTCACGGTTAAGCCACGTCAATATCTTATATTGATTTTTTTTATAGAGATAATAAAACAAAAGGCAATGTGTGAGAGGAGTGGATGGAAGGGGATGAGAATAGGAGGGTGGAGAATCCGCCTCCCAATTGCAAACCTAAAAATTGGAAACGATGGTTTTGGTGTTGCATTTTTTCTCCTGTTATCAAAAAAATCATGTCTAAAATATTTTAGTTTGAGACTTAGTACGACATTACACCAAACATTTAACTATTTTTATCTTGCTTAATTCAAGCCTAGCCAGTCTAGCTTTAGTCCATGAAGTTAGTCAAGTACCACATACGCACTCTTAATGTTCTCGACCAAGGTAGGTTATTTATAAGCTATTGATCATTTCAAAAACTCAACATTATATTCTAATATTTCCACTTAGTGAATTTTTTTTTTTTAATTGTAAGTGAGAGACGTCCTTATGTTTGAATTCTATGAATAGATAGTTCAATACCAATTTATTCTCCTACTCTTAATGTAAATATATTGTCACACCCCGGACCGAGGATCGATGGAAGTTGTTGTGGAGCTAGTTAGATAGGTTGAATTGTTTTGAGTTGGTGACATAGAATTTTGAAGTGTAGACTTTCGGAGTAAGGTTTAGTAAATTTCGAGGATAAAATTTTTTTGAGGATAGATTGTGAGAACCCCTTTTTTTTTTTTTTTTTTTCAAATTATGAAAGTTGGATCCATTTCAACTTCAAGAACCAGTGTCTACGAACTAGGATTCTCTCCTCTCATCTTTCTATCTCCTCTTTTCGTATTCTTTATTTTGTTTTTTGCTTTGTATAAAAAAAATTAATATAAAATGTTGATGTGACTTAACCGTGAGCGTTTAAATAGAAAAGAGAAAATGAGAGGGAAAAAAAAAATAGACGGACAGGAAATGAGAGGAAAAAAAAAAAAAAAAAGAATCGTACTCTGGTGCCTACCACACACTAAACAAATCAATCATCCTGTATTCCTCCCCTCCCTTTTCCCCATTTTTAGCCGAACCACACACGCTCCCTAACCTATCCACTCAACCAATATAATATTCTTCCTTACTTTCCCTTCCCACTGCCTTCCACTTAACTCTCCCCTTTATTTTTATATTTTCTGCCATCGATCCTGGCCCGGGGCGTGACATATATCGTTTCACGGTTAGAGATGAAGTCAGCTCTTTTACTTGAGGTGGGCTGGGACCTTGTGGTAGAGGAAGAGGTTAGAGATCGGATGGTCCTTCGTTTCTCGATGACTTGGAGTCAGACCAAAATTGTTTGCCAGATTCGATTAGTCCCATAAATTAAGCAACATTGTCTAGAGGTTCGGGGAAAGTCAAGATTGAGGTTAGTGATGGATTTCCATCCGGATCTAGATTGAAGACAATACGAGGTTGTTCAGAGAGAGATAGAGAGGAATTGGGGCTTGAGCGACGATGAAAGGATAAAGAGTAGCGGGAGTGGATGGGTGGATGTCGGGGTTTGGATTGGGTGAGAGAGACAGGATTTCGGATTAGGCGGGCTTCTCATAAATATTAAAAAAAAAAAAATTAAATCGATAGTAGTTACAAAAGTATTAACCAAAACATCATAGTATATACATGAAAAGTAACCAAACTTCAAAATAAAATAGCATTGATAATATTACCAATAATTAAAAGAGAAAATTTGAAATAGGTCCAATTTTATAGACTACCTTTTGAAATAAGGTCCAATTTTTAGTGACTTTTGACTTCCTAATTAAAATAATTGTCCTCGACGAGTTTTCATATTTTGAAACTTGCATAGTATATATATGCTAATTTTACAAACTAAAACAAATTAGGCAATAGTTAAGAGAAATTGCAAGACATCAATTTAATCATAATTTATAAACAAAAAATTGTAAGAGGAATTGAGAGTAAAATACATACTTTGGGTTGTTGACCAATTAATTAAACTTCAATGTCTTTTCTTTGATGGAATAATGGAATTCTTTAATCTGCAAAAGAAATATTATTTGTTAAATTAATTTAGAATTGTAGATGAAAACGTATATGAATTAGCAAATTGCAAAAAAAATTGAAAATGACAATTTTGGAGATTCGAAGTTCATACCTTTGAGAAATATGAAAATTGAAGACTGATCGAAAAGTAATATACATATATCAACCATAATCCAGAGTGACAGATTGCAGTCAATTAGAAACTTGGAGAATAATAAAATAATAATTTTTAGTATTGGGAAAAGCAATACAAGGGTTGTAAGTTGGAGTAGATAGGCTTTAGGGTTAGACTAGATTACATAAATACCCTTAAAATATTTTAAGAGGACGGGATCTTTTGTCTAGGAAATTGGAATAGCATAAGTGAAAAAGTCATGGAAAAGTGCTAAAAAAAAAAAAAAAAAGTAGTACTAATTTTTTTTTTTTTTTTAATAAACAAAAGCAGGGTGGGCCTAGGATTAAAGTGGTCCTATGGTCCCTCCACCCTCTTGGGTGATGGCGTACCTTGGGTGAATATGCTCTAAAATGTATAATACATAAGATAAGATGACACATAGGATAATATAAAGATGTGAATATATACAAACTTAACAATCAATAGCCTGTCAAATTGTCAGGATTATTGTGCCTGATAGGTAGCGGAATGTTATTCGCAACGACTATGTAAGTCGTTGCGACACCACAGTCGTTGTGAACAAACATGTGTGACAGCTTGAGTAGTGCCCCCTTTTTGTGTTGAACAACAATTTCAGAGTCGTAAGTGCTGTCTATATATGCACTAATTTCATCTGAACACAACAAAAGAGACGTTACAAAGCCTTATGACTTATCTCCAAAAGCACAAATTGGGATGGTATTAACTAACGTGTTGATTAGAGGAAACGACTTTGCACTTAATTGATTTAATTTGGTAGAGCTAATGAAGCTGCATGACTTGGATTGTACTGATCTTTGTAAGGTGATCATGAATAAATTATTTTATTTTATCTTTAGAGAAAATGATACTAATCTCAACTATATTGTGTGAGACGTCGGCAAGACACCAAATATGCTAACAATTAAGGTAATTATCCCAAAAGGGAAAAAATAATTCAAAGCCAAACCGCATAACTAAAAACAGCTCATGTCACCAAATTTAGGCATAATTCAAAGCCGAGTTCATATATAACTCGAGGGTTAGAATTTGGGGATGCACAACACGTTTTTGTAGCTCTCATTCTGTAACTTTTTTAAAGGATTCAAACCGTTTATATTTTAATTTATCATTCATAGATCATTCGTACAAAAAATTAGACTAGTATATTAAAACATTCATTTGTAATGAAAAAAAAAATAGATGAATACAGTTCTACAAAGAAATACTGAATTTAATCCAACGGTCATATAACTTAAAATTTGAGTGATTTTTGGTAGAGATGTTATATGAGGGAAGACATATAAAATAGACAGTTGAATCGTCCAAAGACATTACGAAGTAAGCCACAAAAAATATGTATCCCCCGATCCTACCAAAACCGCAAATTGAAATGACTAGAGATGCCCGTAGGCCAACTAAATTTTGGATACTACATATACATGTCAAAATAGAAAATGATGAGAACATCATTAATCAAATATCATATCATTAAGATATATTCAGAGCCAGCTATAAGTCATACATCATTATTGGAATTTTGAATGTAAGTATATATATGTATATAAGTGTGTGTGTGTGTGTGTGTGTGTGTGTGTATCAGTCTTAGTTATCAACTTATAAGCTAGCAAGCAGCTAGAAGGCAATCAGTGCTTAGTTGCCTCTTGTAAATTATTCTGATCTGCAATAATATTGTTTTTAAGGAAACGCATGGCAATGTTGCCATTTGCACCTCTGGGAAAAAATCCTCCGGGCCAGGACTCATTACCAGTTGCATACACAATCCTCAAGATCTCCGGCTGCGTCCTTGCATACGTCAGTGACTCCCAATCCGCCGAAAGGACGTTAGTCCACGTCCGGTTCTCCGCCCCTAACGTCTCGGGTACTATGATTCCTTCATCTTTGTTGCCACACCTCCCCAGCTCGTTCCTCAGCCAGGAAATGTGGTTTGTGAAATCAGCCACCGTGAGCTCGTACGGATACACCTTCAAAAAAGCGAACTTATACACTAACGCCCGAATCACTGCATCTTGTCCAGCCTCAACCCCCATAAGTGATGCAACCAACTACATCATAATATGAATATAAGAATCATTGTTAGTACTAATTACTCAAATAGATGTTTAAATATAGTTGGTTTATACTAATTATTAATGAGAATTCTTCTCCGGACATGCTTTCGTTCTTTATTATACAATGTCAATAAATATATATGTCGATAATATTGACATTTAACGTGTCAATATCAAAATGTTTTGAAGTGGTTTCAGTACAATATAGACAATTTTTTTTAAACAAAGGATGGACGTCTCGTATAAAAAAATACTAATTAATCTAGGTCAAGGTTGTTAATTTAAACTACATATTGATAAAACACTCATTGTCAACCAAAATCATATGAAATTACCAGTTTAACTCTCTAATTAAAACTGAACACGAATAAGAAATATGGGCATAAATGTAATCTAAACTACATATTAATAAAACATTCATTGTCAACCAAAACCTTATGAAACTACAAGTTTAACTCTTTAATTAAAACTGAACATGAATAAGAAATATGGGCAGAAATATAATTTTACACAACCAAAATTTTGTTTTTTTTTCAAAACCTCACCTACATATGATTCTAACATATCTCCAATTAAAAACTATAATAAAAAATAAAAAAATAGAGTTCTATCCCACTTCCACATTCTCTCTCACTCTCTTCCTTTCTCCTTCTACTTCAAAAACCAAAAAAAAAAATTTCCACACACTTTATGTGTGACCATATGCTAATTAATAATTAATTATACTTACTCTGCGGTTATCAGGCCTTGTGAGGTTTGGAATGGTGCCAACATAACCATTTAGTCCCACATGAGGGATGCAATAAGATCCTAAGAGAAAATTGATTGAACTTGCATAGATGTTAAATGGAGGGTTCAACGGGTAACCCACCGCTGCATCCATTAGTCGGGCGAAATTCTCACGGCTCAGGTCCAACTGAGGCCTTGGAAATCCTCCTAATCTGGTAATTATTGCTCTGCAAATTCACATTAGTTAACAAAGTAGGTTATGAGTCGTTTGATAACATTTTCGGTTTCACTTTTTAGATTTTTTTATAAAACTGAAAAGTAAAAACTTATTTGGTAAACGGTTTCAGCTTTACTTATGTGGGTTTTAAAATTTGACTTTATTTTGGTTTTGAAAAAGAGAAAATAGATTCAATAGTTTCTGAACTTTGGTCCAATTGGACTTTGGTCCCTGAACTAAAAATTTGTAAGTATTGGTCCCTGAACTTGTTATAATGTGTGGATCAAAAAGACCATTGCTCCACATTATAACAAGTTTAGGGACCAAAGCTCTAATTCAACTAAAGTTCAGTACCAAAGCTTCAATTCAACTAAAGTTTCGGGACTATTGCTCTAATTATCTCTTTGAAAAATGAACTATTTTCATTTTTCAGTTTTGGAAAACGATGAGAACTAAGATGATTATCAAACGGGTCTTTTAAGTAACCCACCTTCGACCAGAATAATAATCGAGGGAGTTGATGGAAATATACAAAAGGAATTTATAGATTAAATCTGTAGATGATATTTGATGCATGATGAAGAACAATTCTCAAAACATGTACGTACATTCTTTAACAAAAGACTCACTATCTTGCACAGAGAACTTTGTTGATTTGCATAAAGATGAGCGCATACCTGACATGACCAACTTCTTGGTAACCAAATTCTTCGATGATAGAACGAACAAGAGGATCGAGATTCGCCTTCTGAGCCCCGATAGGAGGCGGACCGCCTAGCGTTAAATTCGGGTTGATAAAATCGAGCCCTCTGCCTAAAGCAGCATTCAGAAAAAGCTCAGTCTCCAAGTATTCCAAGTTGAGAGCAAACTGTATTAGGTCAGTGTCGTTGGCTCTAACGGGTCTGCAGCGATTCCGAGCACAACTAGTAGTACTACCGATGACCAGCTGATCAAGGCCGAGATATTCCAGTGCAAGAAGAAGAACAAAGGCAGTAGTGAAATAAGATATTGAAGAAATCGCCATATGCATTGCTTTCATGCATATGATATGAACTGTGAACTACCAGCATTTCCATCCTTGTGTATATATAGAAAATACAAATCTAATGGGGAAGAAAATTGGAATTTGTGGGTAACAATAAATCAAATCTTATACCTGGGACGCAACACCCCAGTTGGGAAAAGATGTGTTCAATTTATACAAGCAACCGGTTATAGTGAAATGCTTACGTGTAACTGCTTTTAAAATGACTAATAACACTTTTAGAGAAAATGTTGTTAGATTTCAAAAGCACATGAAGTGCTTTCTGCAAGAGCACCAATTGCTTGCATTTGTATTAAGGATTGGTTCCAAAAACATTTGTACTAAGGATTGGTTCTAAAAACATTTTCACCAAAAGTACTTTCAGCTATTTTAAAAGCACTTCCAAACGAGCTTTTATTCGTTGTAGACTTGAGCTTAATCAAGTTAACTAGAGCATTTTGCTCCTTCCTCACTCAAATTCAAATTCTCCTCTCCATATTTTATATGAATTTAGTGTAAAATATTGTTTTTTTTTTTTTAACAAACGATATAATCTACACTAAGGGGAGAAAGTGAGCTTAGCCTCACAATGGGTGACTAGTGTAAAATATTGTTTGTATAACTTACATTTCAACTACTATGATCCAAACAACTTTTACATATTCGGTATATTTGTAACTCTATTATTATAACTCTCAAGCAACTAGGGCTCATTTGGAAGCGTTTCTAAAATGACTAAAAGCATTTTTGGTGAGAATGTTTTGGAACCAATATTTAGTAAAAATGCAAATGAATCATGAAAAAGCACTTCAAGTGCTTTGAAACTCAAAAACATTGTCTCTAAAAGGACATTCCACACAAAACCTAAACCATTTTATAGAGTATGACATAATTTAGAGAAGCTTTTTTTTTTTTTTTTGGATAGAAAAATGACTGGGTTAAAGAGAAAAGCCCCTAGGGCAACCTGTTTGGATACAATCAAAGAGGAAAGCCTAACGGGCTTCCAAAAGAAGAGTTTTATCCCAAATATGAAAATTAGAGACCGAATAACCCACTCTAGTTATAGCATTCACTAGAAAATTTGCTTCCCTAAGGACATGCTTCCAGCAAATCTCCTCAAACGACCCCGCAAACCAACGAATATCCTCTAGGATGGTCTTCAACCTCTAAAGGGGGTTATAGGCTCCACTGATAGACTCAATCACCAGTTTTGAATCACCCTCCACCACAATACAAGTCAAGCATTTGGCCTTAGCCAACCATAGGCCATCCCGCAATGCCAGGCATTCTGCAACCGAAATAGTATCTTGACCAATAAATCTAGTTCCGGCAACAATAGGCTCTTTTTTTTTTTTCATTTCTAATCACAAACCCATCAGCCACACCTTGATTCACCACAGAGCCATCGAAGTTAAGTTTAACAAAACCCACCGTCAGAGGGGACCACCGGAAAGAAGAAGGCTGGGGGAACCCGCTACCATTATACAGCATAGGAATTACACCATCAGCATCAATGAACCCCTCCCAAGATTGAGGGCAGACTTAACGATCCATGTAGGGTTTGAAACTTTATTTTGGAAAACCACCATATTCCTCTCATTCCAAATCTGCCAACAAACTAGTAACACTTTACTAAGATCACACAAACCTGCATCAATCTTAACAGTCAGTTCATTGAGCCAATCGTTAAAGGGAAAAGATTGATTTAATCTTAGCTTCGTAAAATTACAATTAACAAATAAGTGAGATTTATTATCATCCTCTGAATTGCATATAGGACAAGTGTACGGGATGTTATTGACAAATCTGGATAATCTGTCTCTTGTATGAAGCCTTCTAATTATGAGCAGCCAACTAAAAATTGACTTCATGAGGGAGTTTAAGGCTCCACATTTTCTTGAGAAGTTCACTTACATAATTATTATTATTATTATCACTATTTTGTATCCAAGTCGCCGATCTGATTGAAAACTTACCATTCACATTAGGTCACCAGCAATACATTTCGCATTAGGGAGTTAATGGGAGTGAGATACTACAAATTTTATTCACAATGTCCTCATCAACTAACAATTTTAGCTGATCTCTATCCCATTGTCCATTATTAATGAAATGACTCACCTTTAAGTTTAGATCAATATCACTAACAAGACTAGGCGAGATAAAGTTGGAAAGAGGAAAAAGAAAAATCCAGTTATGGGTCTAGAAGAGGATGCTCTCTCCATTTCCCCCAACCCACCTAAGCCCTATTTTAATAATATCTCTGGACTTAAGGATACCTTTCCAGGCACATGAGTGGTGTTGCCTGACTTTAGTGTTAAGGAAGTCCTCTCTCTTTAAGTATTTATTCTTCACAATCTGTACCCACCAATTTTGGTTATCCGTTAGGATTTTCCATCCAAGTTTTGCTAAACAAGCACCCCCCCCCCCTTTCCTTAGAGCTGCAAACTTTATCCCAAGCTACCAGGACAAGCTTGCAATCTTTACCCCAAAAAAACTTCCTACTTTCTCTATTTAAAGCTTTTGTGATTTTCTCAAGACACTTAAAACAAGACATAGTATGATTGGGGACACCTAAGAGGTTAGCCTTAATAAGAGTTAGTCTTCCAGCTTTAGAGACGGTATTTGCCTTCCAACCGGCTAGCTTGTTCTTTATCTTGATAATGAGCTCTTTTGTATTAACTTGATCCTTCCAGAAAATAATGTTGTGTATGCCTAGATACTTACCAATAGTGGTTTTATGTTGAATAGCAAGAATATTAACAATATCATTTCTTGTATGGTTAGGAGTGTTATTTGAAAAATAAAGTGATGACTTATGATAGTTTATCTTTTGACCAGAAGCTGGAGAGAAATTATCTAGCACTATAGCAATATTCCTGGCAGCAGTGCCAGTGGCATGAGCAAAAATCAAACAGTCATCTGCAAACATCAGATTAGAAATTCTATAACCTCTAGGCCTAGTCAATATACCAACATTACTTCTAGATGATTCTCCCAACTTATCCTAGTGTCTAATTAAGGGCTCTATACAAAGGATAAAAATCTAAGAAGACAAAGGGTCTCCTTGTCTAATACCTCTAGAATGACATAAATAACCATGAGCTTTACCATTAATACGGATAGACAATGAAGTCGAAGTGATGCACTCCATGATAAGCTTGATCTAGTGATCATTAAAACCAAAATTAGCTAGCACACCTTTAATATAATCCCAACTGAGGAAGTCATACACCTTTTCAAGGTCAAGCTTAATGGCCATAGCACTCCTCCTACCTTTTTTACTCTTAAAAGAGGCAAAGAGTTCATGCGCAATGAGGATGTTATCCTGAATGGATCTTTCAGGGGCAAAAACACCCTGGTTCTTGAAAATGCAAAAATTTAACAAAGGCTTCATTCTACTCACCAAAATTTTATAATTATCTTATAAGTAACATTACAGAGGCTAATCGGTCTAAAATTAGAGACCAATTCAGGATTCTCCACCTTTGGGATAAGAGCTATAGTAGTATGGTTTATCAATTTTAGGCTTGAACCATTATTGAAAAAATCTTTAACTAAATTAACAAATGAGGGGCCAACAATCTCCCAACAATTTTGATACAAGGAATCATGAATACCACCAGGTTCCGGTGCTTTCAAAGCACCGATACTTTTAACAGCCTCATACATTTCACTGTCAAGGATAAGCCTATTTAAATTACCATTCTGCTCATCACTTATACAAGGATCAATAATGCCAATGAAATTATTTAGAGATTCTTGAGAAGGTTTGATAGAAGCAGAGAACGTAGTTTTGAAATCCTCAACAAACACCCTCTCCAGACATTCTCCCTTCCACCACCAATTACCTTGGTTATCTTTTATTTTATTAATTTCATTTCTTCTCCTTCTTATGTTGGCCACCATTTGGAAATATCTAGTGTTCTTATCTCCAAGCTACAACCAGTTAGTTCTAGCTTTGGGCCCAAAATAATTCCTCATTCTTTAACACACTTCTCAACTGGTTTTTAATTTCAATCTCTTTATCAAAAAGGTTAATGGGGTCAGAATTATTCATAATCTCATGTTACACTTTATTTAGGTCCCACAGAAGATTTTTCTCTTCTTCTTTTTTCAAATAAATTCCCAAAAACCTCTCTATTCCAATTCTTAATCAGAAACTTAAAAGTCCCTAGGTAGCCTCTAATTTTTTCACACGCACTACCAGTAATGTTTTGCTCCCAAGCTTTTCCTACAACATTTCTAAAACCAGGGTGGGAAAGCCACATAGCTTCAAATTTAAGGGTACTAGCACCCAGATTGTTAACAGTTCTATAGCTACTAGTCTCAAGCAAAATCGGGCTATGATCAAACCCAAAAATAGGATAGTTATGGAGGGTAGCATTAGGAAATGAGTTAATTCAATTCATGTTAGCAATGACCCTGTCTAGCCTCTAAAAAATAATAGTACTATCCTTATGACCATTGCACTAGGTAAACGGCACACCAGTGGCAGAAATATAGATTAAATTTCCTTCTTAAGGAAGTTATTAAAGTTAACCATGTGATCACTAATATTTCTGTCACCTCCAACTTTTTCTTCCATATTAACAATATTGTTAAAGTCACATAACAGCATCCATGATTGATTAGAATTATTACTTGGAAACAGAGAGATAATTTCATTCCATAATTAGGGTTGGAGACTCTTTTGGGGGTAAGCATAGACACAGGTAAAGAGGAAGTGTTTATCCGAACATTTTTCAATAACTTCACAAAGGATAAATCTAGAATTATGGGCAAGAACATTTAGATTAATATTTAGGTCATTCCAACATAAACATAGGCCTCCAACCCTACCATCTTGTAAAAAACATTTTCATGAATCACTTAGACAAAATAGCACTAAGACCAATATCCAGGTCGGACTTCGGTTTAACAATACAAATAACATCTAAAACATTTAAACTACATAGAAAATTAAACTGATTGGCAAAATTAGGCCTGTCCCAGCACCTAAAATTCCAAAGTAACAACTTCATCAATCAACATCTTCCAAATTGTAGCTCGGTCCCTCTCCTCCTTTAGCTTCCCTTCTTATCCTCTTCCTATTTCCCCCTAACTGCACTTGTTCAAACTCACCATCCTCAGTTTCCATAAAAACTTCATCCCCCGTTTCAAGATCTATGACCTCATTCACACTTTTTCCCTTACTACTATTAACATTAGCCAACTCCGCAACATCACTCTTCCCACCAACAGTACCAGAAACAGAACCCCCATCAGCCATCGGGCACCATTTAGACACCAAATCAGCCCTCGAAACCCAAATTCTATTACCCCTATTGTTATTTCTAGCCCACCTCACAGGCACCACAGTCCACCCCTCATCCTCCATATGATGCTCCTGAGTGTTGTCACCACGAGCTTGAACATCCCCTTCCGCAGAGCTAAACTCATCAACTAGAGTGGGTTGAGGGAATAACAGCATAACCCCATCTTGTAACTCATTCTTAGTCTCTTCACTAACTGGAAAATCAGCTGGGCAAATCAAAGGCTCATCCTCAAAGATCTTATCAACTAGTAGACAACCATTATTATCATAATCCGCAGGGCACGAGTGCCTCTCAAAATGCTTCCTTCCATAGTAGAAACAAAGTTCAAAGAGTTTCTCATAGGTCAACAGCAAATGACACTCCTCATCATCATTCACCACCAAAATCCTCTCAAGTGGCATCCTAAGATCCACTTCAAGCAAAACTCTCACAAACAAACCATTCAAACCAGACATGGTGGTCTCATCCACTCTAATAAAATTTCCCGGATGAGTAATGACTTCCAAAATCTCAGCATCCCTATATTGAACTGGCACCCTTGGAATCCTTAACCAAACTCTTAGGTTGGAGATAAACTCAATGTCCCAAAAATGGATATTCCACCTTTCCATATGAAAAATTTGCCCTCTGACATACCAGGGCCTATTATCCAAAGCAAACTCCAACTCCTCCTCATCAGTGAACTCAATGGCATACCATCTATGACCAAAATGATCGAGATAAAAAGGATTCAAAAAATATAATTAGCAGAACACTAAATGAGCCAATCCAACCAACATGACAAGCATGCTTAGCCTCGAGTCTCATAAAAGCAATCCAATTACACACATAAATCCTCATAATTACCTTTACGAAATCATAATTTGAGCTAGAAATTGAAAACCCAAACAAGTAATAGCAACCCTTTAGCTTCCCTCTAGCACCATAATTAACATTGCTATAATAAGTCCAATTAGATAGGGAACTTACCTTGCACACCCATCCTGGGGAAACACCCACCTTGCAGCAACCATCGAAAGTCGATGTCACCAACCATGATTGATTTCTTGGGAATGTCTTCGGCCTCTGTATATCCCCATCTTCCATTTTTCACACGATAGAGATCACCTATTTCGAACTGATCATGATTGCTACTTCCAAAAATCTCAAAACAGCAAACACTCAAATCACCCTCACTCCCTAATTTCCTACTGCACATGTAACTTAAAGGAATTTTCAACCGCATAATTAGCGAATTAGTTATCTTAGCTCCAATTAGATGGAACCCAAACGCAACATTAATTGAAAAAATTGGGTGGAACCCTAACCCTAGAAATTTTTCCTTTTCCCCCCTTTTTCCCTCTATCGACTCTCATCTCTGCTCCACACCACACTAAATGGTGGTGAGCATGATAGATTTTATTAAATGCTTTAGAGAAGCTTTCTATTTTCGATAGATGATGGGTTTGATTTGGTTGGATGAACCAGTCGATTAACCAATAATTGAGGGGAAAACAAATTATATCAAAACCGTCTAATCAATTTTACTACAATTGAGCCACTGAGCGGGACATTGAATTAGCTTAGCTACCACATATTTTATACTCTCGTTCTTTATCTTTTCGTCATAATAGTCACGTGATAAGAGAGAAATGAGTATACAACACAAAATGAGAAGATGACTTCCAAGGTTCAACGAGTTGTTAAACAACTCCGATTGGACGCACATCTATCTCAATGGTTGAACTACGATTTTTCAGGTAAGTAATTAATAACTTGATCAACATAACATAATCTCATTAAGAAAACGCGTAAGACTAAGGAAAAGCTTTCTAATCGGATGGTAAACGGGTTATTCTGTCAGTGGGTAAATGCTTAGAATAGTTGAACATGTTCAAAGGGCAGCAAAAGGGTTCTTTGAAGATCGTCGACAGCAAATGGGTTATTCTGTCGGTGGGTAAATGCTTAGAATAGTTAACAAAATCTCATTAGATTTGTTGGACATTTTTTAGCCCTTTTGTTAGTTTAGCAAAGAGAACTATCCTTATCAATTCATCAACCCTTGTTGGGTTATTGGACTTTCAATGTAACACAAAGCCAACAAGTTATTGTCACTTAGTACTATGGTCTAATGACATTCATCTTCACTTGTAAGTGAGATGTCTTAGGTTCGATTCTCACCAAAATTGAATTTGAACCACATTATTATTAGCACATTGTGAGGCTAAGCATAACATCTCTCCTTTAGTGTAGATAATATCGTTTGTTGTATCTCTTTCCCTTAATATAAATAATAATATTTGTTTAAAAAAAAAAAAACTAACAAGTAAATAAACGTCAAGCCTATCAATTAAACTATTTGGACACACAAATTAACACACCCTAATGAAGGTAGGTCCTACCATTGTATGCATGCGCCATCTCTATTAGAAAATATCAGTAATGCTAGGTAAGATATTTTAGGCCACAGCCCACATTTGCAAATTATTTTAGTGTCACCAATAAAATATAAACACGTTAATCAACACTTAAATAATAATCAAATCATCAACAACTCGTCATATAGTTTACAAAATATCATTTAAAAAGTTGATTTCCCTATTATTACACGTCAGAATAATATCTCCCATTAACTCTTCATACAAACATAGCATGAAACGGCTCAAGATCAGTTAAAACTGGGAGCGAAATTACAGAGGCTTATAAATAAAAAGTAAAATTTCTAAATTACATGCATAAAAATCAAAATTTATTGCAAAACTTTGTTCTGGAATTAGCTGCAGCTTATTATGAAGAGATCAAAGGACAAGGGGGGGCTTTATTGAGCAATAGCATGCTTAGCACCATCCAAAGTGTTCTTGAGCAACATTGCCACCGTCATTGGTCCGACGCCACCAGGAACAGGAGTTACCCATCCGGCTACCTTACATGCTTCCTGGAAATCTACATCTCCAACCAATCTATAGCCTGACTTTCTACTCGGATCGTCTATAGCATTTGTGCCGACATCAATGACAGCAGCACCTGGTTTTATCCAACTACCCTTGATCTGAAATTCAGTAAGGAAATAGATTAACAAAATTGATGGTAAATAGATTTCATTGTGTTAAAACATAAACAATAATCGCCACGGGAGCTAACGAAGACAAGGAAAGCACAGAACCGACACAATGCTAGCTGCACCAGCAGATGTCCTGTTATTCCATTTATGCAACGATAGAGCCTAGTGAAAGCTTATAAATTTCTAATGCATTGTCTTCCAACTCCAAAGTGAACGATGGAATGTCCTTTTTCTTTCACTTGGGATGAATGGAACCAAAAAACTAGTCCTATTCTTCTAACTAGAACGAAGCTAAGTACTAGATTTTTTACTGGAAAGCCAAGCAATATGAGATAAGATAACACCTGCATGTCATAAGACGATGTTATGGCATACCAAGGAACTATAATCTATGAATTGCCTACCATCATTGCCTGTCCTGCTGCAGCAATAATAATGTCCGCTTCACGAATGAAACTCTCTGGATCAGGTGTGCAGGAATGGACTACAGTAACAGTAGCATCTGCTTTCAAAAGAAGCAATGAAACTGGTAATCCAACAATGTTACTTCTGCCAACAACCACTGCTTTCTTCCCCTTTATGCTTATCCCACTTCGCGACAGAAGTTCAAGACATCCCTGCCGAAAAAAAACCATTACAAAACAAAACTACAACCTGTACATGAATGGCTTTCACGATTTTATGTAAATATTGCTTGGACAATAAAGGTTCCTCGTTTGACAGAATACTTGAACAAACCAAACATACATGTGTGTGCGTCAGCATCTATCTGTGTTTGAATACAAACTCGAGTCTTGCCTTGGGAGTGCAAGGAAGGAACAGAGGTTCTCTGCCTTTCATTGCAAGTTTGCCGATGTTGAGAGGATGAAAGCCATCGACATCCTTCTCGATGCTGATTTCACTCAACACTTTCTCCTCATTAATATGGTTTGGCAATGGGAGCTGAACTAGTATACCTATCAACAAAATCAAACCTACTTTCAAAACCCATTTAACCAAAATCAAAGATTTTCCAAATAATTTGTCAACTATAACAACAACAATAACAACAACCAAGCCTTATCCCGCTAAGTGGGGTTGGATATATGAATCCTACAACGCCATTGCGCTCGGTTTTGTCTTCCATCAGAATAATTTGTCAACTCAAAATTAAAAACTGGGCAATTATCATTCATTCAACTAACCATGTACATCGGCAGTAGCATTCAATTCGTGAACTTTGGCAATGAGGTCGTCTTGGGACACATTCTCCGGGAGGTCAATGTCCACAGATTTGATCCCAACTTCAGCGCACGCCTTTCGCTTCATGCTCACATAGCTTTGGGAGTCCTTCCGGGTCCCAACTATCACCACTGCCAGTCCCGGAACCTAAACAATCACACAATCGCATCGTCAAGATTCATGCACCAAACAATGCCAAAAATCCAGCCAGAGCAAAAGCAAACCTTGCCGTATTTCTGGGACAGATGACGAACTTCCTCCGCAATCTCATTTCGGATGGTCTGAGCTATAGCTTTCCCATCGATTATCGTAGCCTTGTGATCAGATTGTGATGCCATTGATCAACCACTCGCTCGGTCTTGATGAGATTAAGGATGGGTTGGGCTGACTCGGACCTCGAACCGCAAAGGGTTACTGTAATCAAGCAAAACAAACCTGCAAACCCCTAATCGGGTAGAGAGAGGGCGTCGGGTGGAGAATCGAGAGAGCTAGGAAAATTCCCAGATGCAACCCCGGAAGTCGCGGTGAGGAAATAGTGGCAGGACGAGAGAGAGATAGGAAAAGGATTTTCCTATCGTGATCTTACGTGTGCAGTCGTTTTCATTATGTATTATTCAAATTTAATTTTAAATTTTAAAATGATTTCTGATCAAACAATGTAACGGATAAAATCAATGAATCTCTAGGATCTCTAGAAAAAATAATCCGAGAATCCTTTTCCAAAGAGATAAGGGTGTACAGTTGTATTTTGATGGATTTTAATGTATTTATAAATCTTTGCTTAAAGCCCATTAAAATCTATAAAGTTATAAACTTATTAAAATTCTTTAAAATTTCAATTGAAGACACTTTATTTGTGCATTTATCAAATTTTCGTAAGAAAAGTGAAATTCAACACTGCTTAAAAAAAACACTACAAAATCTCTCAATTTTTTTTCAAAATGACATAAATTTGATTAAAATTCTGATTGAATATATCTAGACAAAAAGAATCAAGCATATTTTTTTTTTTACGGTTCGTAATTCTTCCTCAGCCAGAATGGGGTAGAATAGCAGAGCAAGTTTTGGAACATAAAACCCGAACATTTTATAGGCCTTATGTGCTAAGGCCTATAACTTTATGTATATTTCAATTGTCATCTAAATCTTTTGAAATTTTTCAGAATAGGAAATGTTTGGATTCGAAACGAAAATTTTCGGTTTGATTTGGAATTTTCAGTCCAACTTACAACTCTGGTATGTGTACGATAATAAATGAGAATAAGAAGAATTAGAGATTAGAAAGATTTAAGTATGGAGTAAACACCTCTTTCTATGTTAACGAGATACCTTAAATTTTCAGGTATTTCAAACCAAAATCCACATACGATCCACTTTTTTATTCATTCCCTTGTTACCTTAGTTTTAGTAAATTAAGGCTATAACAACAATGAGAATGACACTCACTCATTACAAATTCATTCCTTACAACTAAACATTCCCTTATACGTGATCTTTTCAAGCTTTACGCATATTAGTAACATGCAACGTGAATCGTCCTGGTTCTTGTTAGTTGGTAAGGTTACTCACTCACTTCGAGCTGACTAATTGACCATCACATGAGAAATCAAATTCTTAGGAAGAGATACTACTATAATTACCTAAACGTGTTGATTTTAAGTCTACGAACGCACATATAAGAGCACAATACAATAAGTTGTAAGCTGTGTTAATTTTTTTGGTTTTTTTTGGGGGGGAGGGGGGGGAGGATAGGGGGAGTTATTGTCTATCGTTGACGTAATCAAATTCATAGAAAGAGATACTACTCTAATTACCTAAACGTGTTGATTTCAAGTATACGAATGCACATATAAATAAGAGCACAATACAATAAGTTGTAAGCTGTGTTTTGTGTGGGGGGGGGGGGGAGAGGATAGGGGGAGTCATTGTCTATCATTGACCTCTGTGGTGAATCAGTCAGGGCCTGAAAACGCGATAATTTACTATGTGATGGATGTCGATGGTTCGAGTCCACACCAACTAGCTAATAAGACCCGAGCCTCTCCTCGGGCAGATTCCTCCTTTTGCTCCTCAACCTACGAAGTATTAGCAGCTGTTTTCAGCTGTTGTCCCCACTCAAAGACAAATTCTTAATCGTTACTCACCCGACCACCACTAAAAACACCATTCTCGTCTCACTTGCAGTTGTGATGACAAACTTGAACACGATTCAATTACTAACCGAATCCTGAGAGTAATTAAGCCCAGAACCCACGAACTGGGCCCGAAAAATACACGCGCCAATTGTGACAACCAATAAGCGCTCGTGCGACGTGGACGTTTTGGGTTTTACGTTCCTACTCCGCTTCTACCCTGTCCCTCTCTCTCTCTCTCTCTCTCTCTCTCTCTCCCCTCCTCTTATCGAAGCCTTAACCCTAACTCTATCCCACACTCCCAGCGATTAATAGCTGTATTCGAATTCTTCATGTGCTGCATTTAGCTTCAGAAGTTCGAGCTTGGAGGTTGGCAATGGAGAATCCCTCGGTGGAGGTGGAGATTGGGACATCTGCGGAGTCCTTGGGGAAGTTCTTGGACTCGCAGAGGGAGCTTTTCCACAGCCAGATCGATCAGCTCCAGAGAATCGTCGGCACCCAGTGCAAACTCACCGGCGTCAATCCTCTCTCCCAAGAAATGGTGCGTTGTCTTCGAATTTGAATTTGAATTTGCGTTCTGCGTGTTTGGTTTCCGAGAAATTGGAGGAAAATTTGAAAGAAAATTGCAATCCCTAATTCTAATGTTTTGTGCATTCGTTTTGTGATACGCAGGCAGCTGGTGCTCTTTCAATTAAGATTGGTAAGTCTTGGAAGTTGGATTATTATTGTTAATTATGGCTAATTTGATGTTTAATCTTGTTTAATTTGCTTATTTAGTTTGATTATGTGAGATGCTATATACCCATCTGGATGCTATAGTTTTCTATTCACAAATTTTTATACTTTTTTCGTCTTTGTTTCATGTGGCCATCATCTGTTATATTAAACTAGATGGTCCAATTGCAGGAAAAAGACCTAGAGATTTGTTAAATCCAAAGGCTATAAAGTATATGCAATCTATTTTTTCGATTAAAGATACGATTAGTAAGAAGGAAACTCGGGAGCTCAGTGCTCTATTCGGCGTTACAGTCACACAGGTTCTTTCTTTCATTCAGCTTTCCTTCTCAAATTACTTGTTCCTTAAATGTTTTCGTAATGCATTTAGTTTAAGCCATCATACGACCCTTCCCACGAGCGCCAATGTTGTTCAAACTGATAATGTTATATGGACCTTACACTTTACTACTGGCTATTTTAGGGTTGATTATATATACCCAACATGACGTTTTCTTCTCAGTTTTGCTCTTTGGTGGTGATTAGTTTAATTGCTTCTTACATGAGTTCCATTGATTGACAGGTTCGTGATTTCTTTAACAGCCAACGGTCGAGAGTCAGAAAACTAGTCCAGTTGTCAAGGGAAAAGGCCTTGAAATCCGGTGAACATGAAGATTTGCGCGATGGGGTCTCAACAAGCCCTGATTCTTTGATACCAAGTGATCCAGTTCCCTTGAACTCTGTTGGTCCCTCCAATGTTGACGACGCACCATCATGCTCAACACAAGATAGTGCTCTTTCTAGATTAGACGACTTAGATAAACGTTTTGTAGAAGATATTTTCAACTTGATGCGGAAAGAAGAAACATTTTCTGGGCAAGTGAAACTGATGGAGTGGATTATGCGGATACAAAATTCTTCAGTATTATGTTGGTACTTACAAATCACTTTATAGGTTTCATAGTACAAAGCAGTTTGTCTCTTTTCATGTTCCAAACTTCCACTTGTATACGTGCAGGTTTTTAACTAATGGTGGTGTAATGATTTTAGTAACATGGTTGAGTCAAGCTGCTGTCGAAGAACAAACAAGTGTTCTACTTGTTATCTTAAAGGTATTTATTGGACTGGAATCCATATTGTCAAATATGGAATCATATTGTCAATTATCTATCTTCCACAGTTAATGATTGTTGCTTAAAATTCGAATAATTACTGGCTGCACAGGTCCTTTGTCATTTGCCTCTTCATAAAGCTCTTCCTTTGCATATGTCAGCCGTACTGCAAAGTGTTAATCGACTCCGGTTTTACAGGACACCAGGTGTGTATTTGTTACAGATAGTTCTTTGGGGCTTTCTTTGTCACCTTTCTCTATCTTCCGTTGTCTTTCTCAAGTTCTTCTTTCGTGTCATCTCTGTGTGGTTAAACTTGTTTTTGCTCAATAAATCAAGGTTCTCCATATGTGTTGATAATTCTATTTCTTTGATGTATTTAAACTTTGTTTAGTAGAAGTAGCAACTCTATAGGTGCTTCGGCTGTATTTTACTATACACCATGACATTTTTCTTCTCATTCATCTTAGTTTTATGTCCGTGGCAATATTCTTTTGTATAATAAGCATTTCTATATGTGCTTTATCTGTCATTTCTTTTATAAACCATGAAATTTTTGAATCTCATTTTATCTGATTTGAAGATCAGACATATCAAACAGGGCAAGAGTTTTGCTATCAAGGTGGAGCAAGCTATTAGCGAGAAGCCAAGCTATGAAGAAACCAAATGGCATTAAAACATCTAGTGATTCGGAAGAGTTAGTAATTCTGAAGCAGAGGCAAGTACATTTCTCATTGCCAATGCACTGAAAAATTGTGTAAACAGTTTTTAATAATCTATGATTTTCTTGCAGTATCGATGAAGTTATGGGCGATTCAGAATCATGGAAGTCAAATATGGATATTTCTGTAAGTGCCTTTGTGATTTAATAAAAAATTCATTCAAATTGATTTAAGTTGCATAAGTTTTACAGATTGTTCTTTCATGTTGTACAGGAAGACATCCTTGGAACACCTTTTGAAGTGCAGAAAACAGGTAAGAATGTTTCTTTCTTCTGACGTACATTTTCGTAAGATAGTGTTTGTGGTGTTAATCTTGTATGTATTTTTTCAGGAAATTAGAGGCCTCAGAACCCTTGAAGTTATTGACAGCATCACCAGATGAGTCAAATAAGAAGAACATCTTGGGTGTATCTTCATCTCGTATCCTTAATATAGGTTTTTACAATTTTCTCCCAAGTGGTATATTAGAATTCCTGAGCAACATTTACTGGTTTGAAAAAAAAATTATATCACTAGTTAAGAAAAGTAGCCTTTGTCAATGATAAGTTCTATTTCTGTGTTGTTATGTTTCTATGTGTATGGCCTAAAAAAGGTTATACAAATATTTTGTGTATAAGTTGATTTTTTAAAACATATGAGAGTGAAGAAGCCTATTTCCTTAGCTAGTGGCAGAATTTCGTGAGCGCAGAAAAGTTCAGTTGGTGGAACAGCCCGGCCAATCAGCTGGGAGAAGTGTACCGGCCACAAGGACAACAACTGTGAGTCAGGCTCGTCCAATGTCTGCTGATGATATCCAAAAAGCAAAAATGCGAGCACAATTTATGCAGAGCAAGTACGGGAAATCTCGTTCATCCCAGGAAAATAAAGAATTGAAGACTGAAGGTGTGGACAAACTTACAATCTCTCAGGCAAGCATTTTGCCCATGGTACCCAAAGTTCCAATTCGGTCTAATATTGAGGAACCCAAGAAACCCTCGACAAATCCTTTGAAAGAGAGGGAAATTCCTAATAAGCCCGAAACTTCTCTTGCCCCAAAGCGGAGTCTGGATTTGAAGGAGCCCATATTAGAGAAGTGCCCAAGAATCCAGATCCCATGGAAGATGCCTCCAGGTACATATGCTTTTAGTGGCTCTTTTCTGGTTCCTTTGACTCTTTATTCGTAATTTTAAATTTGTGAAATCAGTAGGCTTAATGGAAAGGGAAAAGGGAAAAGGAAAAAAAAGAAGATATCCTCCCAAGTTGTATACAGTTTGTTTAGAGTTTACCTTCAGTATTTCCAACATATATCATAGTGGGAGAGTTAATAGCTTCTCATTGATCAATAATTTGCTTGCCCAACTATTTTTCGTCTTTTTTGTTCACTCATAAGAGTTGAACTCAAGACCTCCCACCTACTAAACAGGTGCTCTAGCTCAATCTCATAGCAGTTGAGTGTTGCTCTTTCCTTAGACGCCTGGTCTTGGTAGGGAATGTTACAGTCCAGGCATCAATATTATCCAGTAGATTAAATGTGCTGCATAGAGAAAACGATTGGAGGATGTAATTTCTTATATGTGATAATTGCTGGGTGTACTGGTGCCTGAGTGGGTGTTTCCTTGCCGGATAAAAATGGCTCGCTTAGTTTAGGTTTCTAGCTTTCTAAGCATATTAATGTCATTGTTTGTTTTGTTGACAGAAATGAATTGTACCTCGTTTTCCTTTCCTTGCTTTCTCCTCTATTCAATCACCGTTATGGATTTTGATATTTCTGGGGGCCATTTTGCCACACACGTTACCGAAGTAATGTGATACAAGATTAGTTTTATTACATTTTTTCTTGTAAGAAATTTAAATAAAGTTTAGCTTTGTCATGATTATTTTATTGGTTCCTATTGAATGAGGTCCACTCGACATGTTTTCTGTAGTTTAAGTGGGAAATTCTACCAAGCAGGCTGAGTGAATGGAAATATCATCAATTTTGAATTCATTAGCATGAAAATGATAAAAATGAATGACTGATTACTGTCCAAATCCATACGGCTCGCATCCGGTAATTGACAGTTCTGTGAGTTCACACTGAAACTCTGGTAACATGATTCACTAAGAATGTATCTTGAGAAGGACGAGGGGGACTTACCTTTGACGGGCACGAGACTCCGGACAATGTTATCCTATGATACTTAATGGACTTGGCTCTGAAGGCACGAGACGTGTTTTATCCTATGATACCTAATGGACTTGGCTCCGAAGGCATTGATAGATAAATGGACGTTCATTGTTTAGAGGAAGCAAAAACAGAAATTCCGGACAATGTTAAATTCGTCCATTATTATTTAATATAGTTTTTTGGTTGCTTGATGGCTTCTGTAAGTGCTAAAGGTAACATTTTCTGCGGATATCAACCTTTTTCATGTGTTGTCTTTCCGTTCTGCAGAAATAAAACTCGATCCTTCGTGGAGCGTTGGTGGTGGTGAATATTGCAAAGAAATTGAAGTCCAGAGAAACAGAAACCGCCGTGAGAAGGAAACCATCTACCGGACAGTTCAGGAGATACCGTCTAACCCGAAGGAACCATGGGACATTGAAATGGATTATGATGATTCATTAACACCAGAAATACCAATCGAACAGCCGCCTGATGTTGCTGATACCACTGAAACACAGGCTTCCCATAACAGAGAAGTATATAATGCAGAAACAATGGTCGTTCGTTCTCAAGGAGCAAACAATGTCGCTTCCTTTCCACCGGCCTTATCTCAAATTAATAACGCTAGCGCAGCTGAACCAGATCTAGAACTGCTTGCCGTACTGCTAAAAAATCCAGAACTGGTGTTTGCTTTGACTTCTGGCGATGCTGCTAACTTGTCGAGCGAGGACACAGTAAAATTGCTGGATATGATAAAGTCTGGTGGGACTGGTGTTGCTGGTAATGTAAATGGTTTAGGTAGAAAAACGGAGGAGAGGGTCGAAGTTTCTCTTCCATCCCCGACGCCTTCAAGCAACCCTGGAACGGTGCGTTACTCTGGCTCATTTTGCAAGTTTTGCCAAACATTGTATACACTGTTGCAGTTTTTGACTAGTAATATAAAAATTTACTGTGCACTGCGTTCCCATGAGATTTTTGGTAAAAGTTAAACCTCCATTGTATACACTGTTTAAACTGCTTGGTTTTCTGTGCTTTTCGCAGAGTGGATGGAAGGGAGATGCTGGAAGGAATGCATTTCCCCAACAGATGCCGCAGGTGTCATCTGCTCATCACATTATTCCGCCGCAACGGCTATCAACTTCCCAACCGGCAGTACCTTCATACTCACCAGATTATCATCGTATGCAATCACCAGCCTCTGAGATGGCTTTAACCATGAAGAACACGCACTTCCACAACGTATCAAACACGGCCGTGCCTCCGATTTGGGGTGAAGGCACGATCAATGTCGAACGAGCTCCCCTATCTAACTCTTATAATGTAGCAGAACGGCAGCAGCCCTTGTTTTCCACTCCGGCAAGGCAACAAAGACAGCCGCAGCCAGTACAACAATCCCCTTTTTCTGAACCTCACATTCCTATGTACACGCCTAAACAGCCGATGGGCAAACCCGGCCCTCCATCCGATTCGTGGAGAGCCAGGCAGGATTTGCCTTCAAATTACCATTACATAGAGAACCCAAATCAGTATAATGCTTCGTATGGAGGGCATTTGCAGGCACACCTGTTGCCAGGTCCGTCTTGGGAAGGAAATGAACATGTTGGTGGCGAACAAGATTTCCAATCGTGGAGTCCGGATAATAGTCCGAGTAGAAATCCTGGGTATATGTACGGAAGAGAACCCAGAACAAACCCGGGACAGGATTACAGGTCGAGGAGAAGGAATCCTGCCGGATACCGGGACCATAATAGGCAGCAGGGAAACAGATGGCCTAATCGCGGCGGACGCTGAGGTCCTATAATCCAGAGTGGATGTGTTAAGAACGCATTAGTTCTGTCTCTCTGCCTTTGATTGGATCAAGTTTTGGGGCAGACAGATGATGTGGCACGGAAATCTCAACTCGAATGGATGAGAAACCCTTACTCAAGCGCCTCACAGTTTTGGGATGACCGGATTATTGAAACGAGTGAGAGCTTGTAAAAGCCATCGTGACTGTGTTGATCTGGGATGCTCATAAAGGACTCTCTACTGATCATTAGTTTTAATTTTAATAGGGTGAAAAAAATATTCTAACATTTGAGCAGCCTTTGTCTCGGTACTAAAAACAAATATAAAAATTCTTGGGCCTAATACTTTAATTTAAGGATTGGATTTGTTATCGGAATTGAATTATTGTTTTGGGCTGGCATTCTGGCCCAGAGAAAGAGAAACCGTAAATGTTGACATTGTTCTGGTTCTCCAATAGAGTTGGGCTAAAGGTTAAATGCGAAAAAATGATTTGATTTAATTAAAAATTATTTTTTAACTGATGATTGTTCTATAATTGTATGGAGTTCATCAGATAATTATTTGGCCAAAGGAGCATCAGGTTGGCCAAATGAAGCCCTCTCGTAGCCCTTTTTTGGAGTCAGCCCCTCAGTTGTAATAATTGATTCAAATTCGAATACTAGATTTGAAAACATCTAACAATAATTTAACTAAATTAACCAATTATTATTGAAAGGGTTATGTTTAGCCTTTTTGGTTGGAGATGGTTTATGAGTATGGTCTGACACTTTTCATTTAAAAACAATTTTTTGTAGGGCTTTAATTCTAGACTTGGCTATATTAAGCCCTTTCGGTTGGAGATGGTCGTAAGGTCTTCTTCTTACTCTTATGTCTTCTTTTAGTGTAGTTCATAGTATTAAAATCGCTTATATTCTAATCGTCAAATTAGTGATTGTATTTTATATATATATATATGTATATGTGTTTGTATTGTACCCAAATCCATGATAATTACCCACATGACATTGTAATATTAATTTAAGATGTTGTAGTGTCGGAGATGTATCTAAGTCATTTTCCAACTTTGGAATAAATGTTTTTAAAAAGTTGGAAATGTTACAAGTAATATATAAGAGATACGAAGAACAAGAGAGATTGGAGAAGAAATCAAAGAATTATTTCTTTCTCGTTACAATGCCTATTTATAGCCTTAGGATTTATATAAAAAAGTCCTAACTAATTACATATTACATACTGATCCAAAAATAAACAGCCAAAAAATAAATAATATTTAAAGATTTGTAAATTTGATAAATAAGTTTGTCTTGCCTTAACTTTAAGACCTAATATAATAAAATCCTTGTGAGTTTACAGATCTGTTTGAAAATAGTTAAAAGTGTTTTCTGTCACATCTCCGTCTGGGGTCCACCACATCCCGGGCCCGCTCCACCACTGTATCACGATATTGTCCGTTTTGGGCCCCAACCACTCCCTCACGGTTTTGTTTCTGGGAACTCACACGAGAACTTCCCAGTGGGTCACTCATCATAGGAGTGCTTTCGCGCGTTACTCGCTTAACTTCAGAGTTCCCATGGAACCCAAAGCTAGTAAGCTCCCAAAAGGCCTCGTGCTAGGTAGAGATGAGAATATATATATAAGGCTTAGAAGATCCACACCCCTGAGCGATGTGGGATGTTGCAATCCACCCCCCTTAGGGGCCTAACGTCCTCGTCGGCACACCACGGCTAGGGTTAGACTCTGATACCAAATTGTCACATCCCCGCCCGGGGTCCACCACATCCCGGGCCCGCTTCACCACCGTAGCACGATATTGTCCACTTTAGGCCCTGACCACGCCCTCATGTTTTTTTTTTCTGGGAACTCACACGAGAACTTCCCAGTGGGTCACCCATCGTGGAAGTGCTCTCACGCGCTACTTGCTTAACTTCGGAGTTCCCATGGAACCTGAAGCCAGTGAGCTCCTAAGAGGTTTCGTGCTAGATAGAGATGAGAATATACATATAAGGTTTAGAGGATCCACACCCCTGGGCGATGTGGGATGTTACATTTTCAGTTAACTAAGAGCATCTTCCAAAGGAGGTGTCAAATTTTGAACATAAAATTTAAATTTAACAGCCGATGTGGTGTTTTCACATTTTTTAAAGTTGTACTCTCCACCCGATATGTCAAATTAAATTATTATTTTATTATATTACAAAATAAATGATTAAACCAATAAAAATTTAATTAAAGACATTTAATACTTATTAAATTGGGACCGGTCATCAAATGCACCAAAGAGACATGAATGTCAACACCAGCATTCCTTATAATAATGATTCAATCAATAAAAAATTAATAGAAGAGAAAACTAATGAAAATGACTTGAAAACTTTTAGTTTTAACGATAAGGACAAAATAAAGGGTAAAGTGAATAGTACCAGGTTTGACCTTTTAGTGTAAAAATATGATTTTTCGTTATAATGAATAGTACCGTGGGGTTTTCGTTAAAACTCCCTTAATAAAAACCATTAATTTAATAATTAATTTTGAAGTTGCTGTCAAATTTGACAACAACCTTCTTGTTGCCAATCTATGTCATCGCCACATAGGAATTGACATTTCGGTTGAAGAATATTAGTGTGATCTTTTTTTACTGTTATAGCTTATGTGAACATTTTAACATCTCATTTGGAGATGTTTTAAGCATTTCTAATGACGTTTGGTAGTTAAAAGCTTTTTTTATCTATACAAATATTTGGACTCCCATATAATAAATTTGCTTATCCGCAAAAGTGCTTTCTAAATAAGCACTTCCAAGAGCCTTATTTTTCATTCTAAACCCATCAAGCCCAAAAGCATATAGCATAAAAATTTGCAAATTCCAAACACAAAAGTTACATTGACAGAAAAAACAGTTGATACTTGATAGCTTAAAGCCTAATGGCTTCACCTTCACCTTCACCTTCAAGCTCCATCCTTCTTTCTCAATCTCTGATCGATTTCAAATTCCACCACTGAAAAGCCAGTTTCTGAAGACGTTTCTTTCAAGCTCCAGCAATGGGATTCAGATTCCACAATCTCAATTCTGTACGCAAAAGGCTCGCTTTCCACTTTCACAAGCACAATCATCGTCCTCCTCTTCCCAATCCCACAATATCCCAAATCCTCGATTCCCATCCGCAAAACCCTATTTACTCGATCGCCAGACGGTGGCATTTGGGCCACTCCCACCACCAAAACGATGATCAGCATCGCCTCTCCGGTGAAGAGGGGGAGAAGATTTTCCGGATGGGATTGGCAGCTGATGTTGGACTGGCTGCCGGGAAAGCTTTGACGGGTTACTTGTCCGGAAGCACGGCGATCATTGCTGATGCCGCCCATTCGGTCTCCGACGTGGTAACATTCTTGTGTTTTTGTTCTTGCTTACCCCATGTTGGTTTTTTGCTTTTTGGAGAATTGGATGTTAAGGAGCAGAAATTATGTATTTAGAAACTGAATTTTGTAATTGGGAGTCAAGACATTTAGGAGCAGAAATTTGTAATTAGAAGCTGAATTTTGTAATTAGGAGCTGAATTTATGATATTCTTGCTTCCCCATGTTGGTTTTTGCGAGAATTAGATGTTCTTGTTTAGGAGCTGAATTTTGTATTTATGAGCTGAACTTACATGTTTAGGAGCTGAATTTTCACTGAACTTGCTTGCCCATGTTGCATATTGTCTGCTTGAATATCTGTTACTCTTTAGAATTTTGGGGTTGCCCATATTGCATGTCTGTTACTCTGTTTTAAGATGTATCATGCACGCTTTTTGTTTTTTGTTTTTCATTTTCTGCTTATATTTTCAGGTTCTTAGCAGCGTTGCTTTATGGTCATTTAAAGCTGCAAAGGCTCCGAAAGACAAAGAACACCCATATGGTCACTCTTGATTTGTACCTACACGCTACTCCATTGATCTCACATTATGCATATACACCCTACTTGTGTATTTCGTTGCCATGTGTTTTTTGGAAACTTGAAACATTATACAATTGTTTTCTTGTTTTTCCAGGACACGGTAAATTTGAGACTCTGGGAGCACTTGGAATCTCTTGTATGCTGTTGGCCACGGCTGGTGGCATTGCATGGCATGCTTTGGATCTTTTGATGGTAAGTGTCAAGTCGACTACTCATATGTAGTTATTTTTCTGTTTCCAAATGGTTTCAGATCAATAGACTATTGACAGTTAAAAAAATCATGATCAGTTTCTCTTGATATTGAATCCAATTCTTCGTTGATCTTCCATGTTCAGGGATTGTTTTCAGCAGATCCTGCTATTGTTAGTCAGTCATTGACACATGAGCATGGGCATAATCATCATCATCATGGAGTTGACATGGAGCACCCTGTTCTAGCATTGAGCATGACTGTTTTTGCAATATCTGTTAAAGAAGGGTACCAAAGTTTATAAAAACTTATTTGTCCATCTCAACTTCTATGTTCATTTCTCTCCTTATGCGTGCTCTTCTCCTCCGTTTCTCTTCTCTTTCTCTCCCACTCACTATTTGCCTTTCTTTTTTGCTTTTAAGACTTTACTGGATTACATTACGGGCTGGGGAAAGACAAGGTAGTGGACTGATGAAAGCAAATGCATGGCATCATCGTGCAGATGCTATTTCGTCAGTAGTTGCTCTCATTGGAGTTGGTAAGACACTTTGGCTTTTCCTAAAGATCACTTTATCAACTTATATTTCATATTCTTGAATTAACTAGTTAAAACCCGTGATCCTAAACTGAGCATGGTTAAATCACTGTGATTTTAGGAGGTTCAATCCTTGGAGTAAAGTTTCTGGATCCCCTAGCTGGACTTCTTGTCGCAGGCATGATCCTGAAGGCGGGAATTGAAACTGGGCATCAGAGGTCTGATTTTTGTTCTCTATTAAATGCACCATTATATCACACTGCTTCTTAGATTTTCAAAGGAGTACATGCGATTGTTTAAGCTGTTGCACATGCTGGTTCCTACAATCATGAATATAGTTGCAAAGATATATGGCACCTCTATATATCTAACGTTGGTCTTTATTTTTATTCAAATAATGCAAGCTTGTTCACCAAAAAAGAAAACAACGCAAGCTTGATGCATTTCTTGTTGTGTATGCGTATGAGTCTCTGTTAACTTCTCAAGACCCTATATAATATATGTGTGTGCTTTCTTTCTTTCTTTCTTTTGGCGGTGTCCCCATTTTAGTGTCTTGGAACTGGTGGATGCTGCAATCCCAGCAGAACTTTTGGATCCTATGAAACAAACAATTGTACAAGTCGAGGGTGTGAAGGTATCCGGTTATTAATTCTTATAATGCATTTACGAAATTATTGCTCCATGTATCATCGGGTCTTTGAACTCACTCACTCAAAGAAAGGCTGTATTCTGTTAAGCTTAATGGTATTAGCTAGGATCTTAGCTTTTTTGTTTTGCTGTTTGAAATGACCTTTCAGGCTGTGTACAGGGTTGTCATCGCTTGAGGGGAAGGAGGGCTGGTTCATCTCTATACCTTGATGTGCATATTGAGGTTCTCTTTGAAACTTTGTGGCGTTGTCAAATAATGTATCCATCTCCTGTAATGTATCTCATTTGTTTCTTTTGGCCTGGCAGGTTGATCCTTTTTGTAGTGTTAGTGCTGCACATGACATTGGAGAAAATGTTCGTCGTCAGATTCACAAATCCCATCCTGAAGTCTCTGAGGTTTTCATACACATAGGTATGCTACAAATTTTTTAATTGTGAGTTTTCGATATTGAGCTAGACAAACTATAAACGCTCAGTCTTAGACAAACTAGGAATGACTTTTATCCAAATTTTTCGTGCTTAACCTTTCAGAATTTTCATCCCATGGTTCAATTCACTTATGTTGGATAAGATGATTTGGGTTTCTCATTATATCTTCTAAATTCTCATTACTTGCTCTTACTTTGTAGATCCTTCAATTTCACAAATTTTCACCAGTGAAGATCAGCCAGAAATTCTCAAAGAAACTGCATGCCCAAATGTTTCTCCTGCGGAAAAAGACATTGAGGCAGCCGTTTCTACCATCATCTCATCGAAGTACGCAGAGGTATTTCTCCTCTCTTTATCAAGTTGGAAATTCAAGCTCAGCTTGACTTTGATCTTTTGCATGATGTTACTCCAAATGAATGTGTTATTTCTTCACTGGCGGTTAGCTCTTGACGCTTTTGATAAAAAAAATTAGAGTTCAACAATATATGCGTTCACTTCCTCGTTCAAATGTGGATCTTATGAGTAGATTTCAAATATCGATCTTATTAGAAGATTGGATTTGAAACAAGACACCCAATGTTCTTATTTCTGCGTGTGTTTCAGAAAATGGTTGTCGAACGCATAACGCATCACTTGTTACAAGGCAAGATGTATCTCCAAATTGAGGTTTCCATGCCTCCGGACATCTTAATTCGGTAAAACCCTGTATTCTTTTACCAACTTGACGATTTCAGTCCCGTCTACAGTTCCATTCCGTAACGGTTTTAAAGAAATGTTTCTGATTCCAGCGATGCAATGGAGGTGGCAAAAGAAGCCGAGCAAGACATTTTAACGGCGGCGACGAATCTCATTCACGTCGGCATTCAGCTGCGTCTGAGGAATCCAATTCCACAGTTCAACGGTGACTAAGAAGCCAGAAAGAAGGCAAGCAAGTGTTAGACTACATGGTTTTCCAATACCACAATAAAAATTTATTCTTTTAGGTTTAGATTATTTGCATATATGATATATCAGAATAATTAATTAACCTTTGATTGGTTACGTTTCATGTACCAAAATAATATATTAATTCTTAAAATCTGTCTCTCATAAATGTAATGTTACAAATTTCTCAATTTGTTGAATGTTTACTTTGAAATTTTTTCTACAACACATACAACCGTTATCCCTATACACCGGGATATTTAAAATTCCAATTATTTTAATATAATAATCAAGTTTTATTCTACTAAGTGGAGTTATCTTTATGAATCATAAAACGCAACTTGGCTTGATTTAAAGTCAAAGTTTTTTGCGAGCTCCAAGTATTTCATAATTTTTTTTTTTTAAAGCCTTTCCAAGTTTTTCTCTACCTTTTTTGTCATAATCTTTTGTTTGTCTGTCTTCAATTCATGTGTCCAAACCACCAGTTCACGTGTCTAAACCACCTTAACTGATTTTTGCTTATTTTAGGTTCACGTGTCCAAATCACCAGTTTATGTGTCTAAACCACCTTAATTGACTTTTGCTCATTTTATTTTCAATTGTGATCTTTCTTACTTTACCTTGGATATCATCGTTCTTAATTTTATCATTTCTCGTGTGTCCAATTAATCTTTATCTTTGCTGCACTTATTTTTTACTTTTTGACCATCCAAAATTTCAGTTATTTTGATGCTCCATTAATATTTGTTATTAGGGTTAATGTTTTTTAGTAGAATAATAGTTTTAGTGTGTAAAATAGTTAGTTGTCATTAGGATTAATTGGCTTTATGGTCTTGAATCTGTCCACGACTTACATTTAGGCCCCTTTAAATTAATAAAATAAAATGTCTTGGATTTTGATTTAGATGATAAATTCAAGACAATTAAAACAAAACAATTAGGCAAAAGAAATCCGGGTTTTTTTTTTGTTTGGGTTATAAAATTGAAAATAATACGGAAAAAGAATGAGAAACCAAATTAAAAAAAAAAAAAACGAAACAAAAAGAGAACCATTGATCAGATAATTGTAGTCTGTAATTTTAGTCGACACGATGAAAATTCCGATAAACATATCATCACGTAAATGGTTCTTGATTAAACAGAGAAAATTAAAACCCAATAAAATAAATAAATAAATAAAGGAGTTGAGGCTCAGAAGGATCCATTGGTAATTTTGTAATCACAGTAGGGAATTTAATCCCTCAGAAAATAGGTAGTTTTTCAGCATCACTGCCTCAAACTCAAACCCCCTTCTTCTTCCTACTATATATAATCAAATTACAAAAACCCTAATTTACAGAAACCCTAATTCCAGAGAGAGAGAGAGAGAGACGGAGAGGGGGATTGCTGTGACAGAAGAGGGTTGAGCTCTGAATATTTATAGAAGAGCGATTTGAATTAGGGTTGAAGGGTCTTGCCGTCTTATGGGTGGGCAATTTTCTGCAGCCCAATAAGGCCCATTGAGCAATGGATATTGCCAAGCTGGAAGTGACAATGGGCTTATTATTCATTTCCAAATCCAATGGTAGGTAAGAGCCCTGTTGGAGTTTCTCTAATATACGTTAGAAGTGCACATATAAGTTACACATTTGATAACAACTATTAGATCATTTAACTTAAAAGAATCTAACCGTTTTTTATTTAGATGTGTAACTTATATGTGCACTAAAGAAAACCTCAGAGGTCGCCAATGCATTGTGCTTGTACTCTTGAATCATATTTGAATCCCCTTCTGTTGTAAAACATATTAGTTTAAAATAAAATATCGTTTTGTTAGAAAATAAACTAAATAAATCCATTCATACTATACTCTAATATATAAACTTGTTATCCATTTATATTATAACACTGATATACTACGTGATGCCTTTTCAGTGTTTTTATAGTCTTGTGGTATTCCTCCTTGTTTGGTTCAAGGCATTGATGTAAACGTTTAATATTCATTCCAAAGGGAAGGCAAAGTCCCATTCAAGTAATTTATTGATATGAAAAGAAAAACACAAATGGGATTTTCTGAATTAAGCAAATGTACCAAGAGCTTCTATCATCTCATTGGGTCATACTTAGTACATAAAATGCAACTTGGGTTGATAAAAAAAAGGCACAAATTTGACTATACCGAACGAATGTGGACATTAATCCGGGCCTAAAATAGCCCAAATCTCAAACGTGTCACCGAAGAAAAACAAACCCTGGTCTGCTTCTTCCCTTCTTCTTCTTCTTCTTCTTCTTCTTCTTCTGCAAGTAATGGATAAATCGTAAATGTAGATATTATAAGGAACATTAAGGTTTACTCAAACATCCCAAATCTGCTTTTCCATAGCCGAATCTCCGTGCGAGCGTTGCTGTTGCTGCTGCTGAAAAGGGTTCATCATTGCCGGCAATCTGTGCTGACTCATTGCCTCCAAGTCCAACCTTTGCTGGTGGTGGTGGAGCTGCTCATGCAAGCTTGGCGGTCTCGACCCTCCGATGCCCAGCAGATCGAGCGTTGCGCAAGGCCCCAGCGCGCTGTTCATTCGATGAGTCGAATTAGTATTACTAGAATTGTTGTTAGGGCTATTAATGTCCTGATGATCATGATGATCTTGTTCGAAATTCTTCAACATTGCCTGGTGGTTCTGATAGTTCTGGTGGGGACCCCCGCCGCCGATCCCCATGAAGACTTGACTGAAGAGTCCCATGTCATTCATTGCCGAGCTGGCGGTTGGGTTGTTGGAGTGATGATCAAAAGGCTGTGACATTTCTTGTGGGTACTTTTGAATGAGTTGGTCAGTGAACCCTCCGATCATGTTGTGTGAATTATGTGACTGAGGATCAGACGGCTGAGGTTGCTGTTGGAAGTGGTGAGGCTGATGATCATACGACGGTGGGGGTCGAATATTATTGTTTAGAATGGAATTAGGGCTAGAGAGGTGGCCGTGATCAGGGCCTGCCATACTGCTAACAAAGCTCTTCTGCATCATCGGCGAGTTGATCGTGGAGTTGCTTGCAGTGGCTCCCATTTTGGCGGCTTTTTGAAGCAAGGCGGTGGCTGACATTTGAGCTGCCCCGGTAATACTGCTTAGGCTGCTGCCTCCGTTTTTGGTTTCTTGGTGGTGAAGGTAATTGAACCCTGATGAGCTGTTGTTGTTGTTGGAACTCAGCTGAAGGCTGGAGGCCGAGGTGGAAGACACGCTTCTTGGCCCGCCAAAGAGCGAACCGGTGGTGTTAGAGAACATGCCTGGTCCTCCACCACCGCCGCCACCACCTGGGATGTTCATGTTCTTGAATGGCATTGGGACAAGATCTTCAGGAAGCTTGTTTTTGTTAGTGTTAATATCGTAACTGAGGAATTCGGAGACTCTTCCTCCCATGGGGGAGGTGTTGGTGTTCATGGCCATTGATGATATGAGCTGATCATGTGGCATAGGCATTTGGTTTACTTTGTTGTTTTCTTCTGCCAATGCGTCACAAAAGGCTCTGTGGGTGATAAAGCTATCCCTCCTGCACAAACTCATGCAAAAATACATAATTTGTACTTGATATTGTTTGATTACATAAAAATTTGAAAGAAGAATGTATGGTAATCTTAATTCCAAAAATAATAAAATTATTTGGACATACAAAACAGACATAAAACTAATATAAATGGACCCTATCATTATGTGAACTCCATGTATATTAAAAACTGTCAATAAAATGTGTTAATATTGTGTGTTTAAACGGTAGTTAAAATGAAGAGTTGTGACATAAAATTGAAAGGTTTCAAAAAGAGATCGATGAATGTAACTTTATTTCAATTATTGCCCATTTCTTTCCTAAATGAATATTTTTTGCGTTTGGAGGGCTCAATCCAACAATGCTCCACTACACTAAAAGTCATTTTACAAATACATTTGTGACAGTTTGTAAGAAAAATGCTGCAGAAATTATAACTAGCTCATAGAATAATAATAATGTAGTCAAGTTGGTTAAAGTAAAGTGATTCATAACAAGTTTGAATTTTACTCTTTGTAATATAGTATATAGATTAATTTAGTAAAATTATCACTTAGTATAAAAATAAAATAATATATGTATACATTATATAAACATATGGGAGCTAATTCTCGACAAATTAAGCAACCATATATACATGTAGTACTTTTTTGTGATCCAATCTTGATTATATGTTCATGCACATGCAATATTTAATTAACAAAATTAAACTATCCATGAGTATGAGTTACTTAACGAACCTGGAAAAGATGGTCCCACAGTCACACTTGTACTCCCTAGTGCCGCAGGTCTTCTGATGCGCCTTCCAGTCCGACTGCACTGCATATTTCTTGGAGCACTTGTCACATTTCCATTTTTTCTCTCCATGTTTCCGGCTGAAGTGCTTCTTAATGCCGGTGAGGTCTCCTAGCGCTCGAGCTGGGTTGTGGTGGACACACGTCGGCTCGGGACATATGTAGACCCTTTTCCTAACCTCAGTTGTGGTTCTCTGACGGAGCTTCCATGGAAGGTTATGGCCTCGCCGGTGCAGCTGAAGGTTTTGATCCCTTTGAAACCCTTTGTTACAGATTTCACATACAAATCGGTTCGTTGCCATTAGGGTTGTTGGTGATAGTGCAATAACTTCCGCACTCGGATCTGATCACAAATTAATACAAAATTGTTAGAACATAATTAATTAACTGGCACAACTCTAAGTATAATTAGCAATACTAGTTGTGTTATGCTACACAGCATATATACTTGTGACCAACAAAAAGTGAAATCAAGCAAACAGTTCTACTTTATTGGCAACAATTCTTCAAAATGTTTTGATTCTTTCACAAGATAACTCAATTTAGAAACTCCCATTTTTAAGAAGAAGAACATATATTGCTGAAATGAAAAGATTACAAGACTCAAGCATGGCGCCAAACATAGGTAAACATTCTCCAGTGATCACTCTCAACGTCCAGTGATGAGTCTCAACATAAAAGCTGACATGATTCGGAAAGAAACCCTTTTTTTGTTCTTCTAAAATAAATCAAATCTGCGCGCCTTGAGTTGTATGTCATACATATAGTGAAACATGGCAAACGAATCAAGGAAACTACTCGACATTAGTAGTGAAGAAATTAATTCAAAACTATTTGCCTGGAGTTCCTGGAAGATTTCTTTTCTTCTTAAGAGGTGGCTGCTGCGGCTGCTGATGAGTGACAGAGCCATTACTGTTGCTTTGCGCACCGGAAGCACCGCCAGAGTTGGAACCGTGCAAGTGGTTTTGTTGCTGGTCTTGATGAACTTCTAATTCTCCAGTATTATTCCCTGAGGAGAAGCTTCCTTCTTCAACATCACCTGTAATATTTGACATTTTTGACAGGCAAAAAGGGTTGAGAGATGATTATACAATTAAAATTACTTGGCTTGTCCTTTCTAACACTTGGCTCAAATTTTCTATGTTGGTAGAAGGACTAGAGGACTAGAGACTTGTTTTTGGCGAACAAAAATTCAGGAGTTGCTTTTGGTAGAGGAAGACAAAAGCAGGGAATTCAGCTTCTTCATTTCTGGTGACACTGGTGAGAGGAGGAGAAGCAACTTTTGTGCAATATTTAGACTTAATCTTGGAACCTGGTCTTCTTTGGCCTTACATAATTATATATAGTGCTCACAAGACACATTATTGAAATACTTAATTTAATTGCCAAGTACCCTTGACTTGTTGGGTAAATACAACCCTAACCTTGCTAGTTACCTTGTATTCCTTTTGGTTTTCTTTTTGTGTTCACATGTAACCAATGAATTACATACTTCATTTATTATTGTAAGTTAATCCGTTTCTTTTATCCCCTCTAATTCAATGAGGAAAAAAAAAAAAAACCCTAATTAATTATAGTACTCGAGTTGAGAAGGGTAGCGTCATAGTAGAAATTAAGCACCCTTGTGGTTCTCCTTACCCAGATTCAAGACTCCCCCACCCCTTTCCCCCTTAAGACCCTATTTAACTATTGACAAAAAAAATAAAAATAAAAATTATAGTACTCGACTTAACTAAGCTGTGAGTAGTGTGTTTCCACATTTACGCCCAAATTTCCCTTTTTATAATTCAAATGAGTTAATATAAAATATCGCTTGTAAAAAATAGAAAAAAAAACTTTACCTTTCCTTAACTATATATATTTATGCCTGTAGACACACATGACCAATCACGTAGTGCCACGTGACAGTGTCCAGAACATCATCCTTTCTTGTTTTGTCCATATAAACCCTACATCTCTACATCCATCATCATTCACACACCAAACTCAATCCTTCTTTTTAGCTCAAGATTCTTCTTCATCATTTTTAAATCTTGAGTTCTTACAATGTCTTCTTCAAGGAGATTGTCCAAATAGTTTGAGGAGCAACATAAAAGATTGTTGGCACAACAGGAAGAATTGTTCAATTTCGAGGAAGGTGGAGATGAGGCTTTCACAATGGAGGAGGATGAGGATGATGAACATAGAAGGCAGAGGGCTTCACATTCCCATCGTGTCATGGAAGTTGTGTGTTAAATATTCAAACCCATACGTGCTGCAAACTTGGATAGAAAGAGGGAAAAACGAGGTAAAGGTTTCTTGGAAGATTATTTTATCCTCAACTATGTATTCCCTGATCATGTTTTTATACGTCATTTTAGAATGCAACGAAGTTTGTTCGACAAAATCATGAGTGCTATTTGCAACCATTATCCATACTTTGTGTAAAAAAAAGATGCTTTTCATGTTCAAGGTCTTCTTCCTGAGAAAAAAATTATTGTTGCCTTGCGGATACTTGCATATGGAGTCTTTTCCATGTATAGCGCAAAACGCTTCCGTAATTCCACTCCACATTTCTCGCAACTCATGAGTGACTTGAACCTAGCATTCACACAATGTAACATCTTCGATGAGCTTCCACGTAGCCATTTTTTTCACACAAAAAGTATATGAAAGTTTTGGTAGAAAGTGTTGAAAATATTGAAATGTGGTGTGAGATGGAATATGAGGGTTAGGAACTTATAGGAATATTTGTTTTTTCCGTATTTTTTAACAAATTTTAATAGTTTTTTTATTAAATTTTTATTAATTTTAATTTAGTTAATTAATTTGGACCATTGGATTTGAAAAAGATTCAAATCCAACTGCCTATATGTTGACATGTGGCCAACGGTCATAATTCTGACCGTTGTGCCTTTTAAAAAAAAAAAAAATTTAGGCTAAAAAATGTGGATCGGACGGTCCAAATCTCGCCACATCACTAGCCATTGGATTTCAAATTCAAATTTTTTTGACTATTGGAAATCCAACGGTCCAAAAAACTAGCTGTTGGAAATCCAACAGCCTAGAACGAGCCACGTGACCTCCCCGTAAGAGCCGTTAGTGTGCTTGCACATGCAAACCCCACCCGCATTTTCTTGTTAGGGACATGCACCCACTCGCCTAGCGCAAAAAAAATAATTGAAAGGGCATGTGACGTCACATTGGCGTTAGCATGACGTCACATAGGCCGGGCCTTGGCTCAGCACAATCTAGGCCAGCCTATGGGACGGCTTGGGCTGTCAATCGGCCTATGGGTCTGGGCTGGAGGGGATTGGCTGGGTGCCGGGTCATTTTGGTTGCTGGGTTTCAGCCTAAATGTCCTTGGTGGACTTGCTCTAAGAAGATTAAAGTCAACAGAAAAAAAAAAAAAATCAACATGGGACCTCAATTTAAACAAAAAAAATGTGATGATTAAAAAGAGATAATATCTGGCTTTTGGTAAAACTTAGCACATAAAAGGGTGGATAAATTTTGCATGTACCAGGAACACTTGCCGCGTGGGGTCTACCATTATGCGTGTTATGTTATGCATGTGTGACAAGGTGATGTTTCACTCATATCAATAATATCACGTGCCCATGTTTTGGGTAAAAAAATCTCTCCAAAGACATTCACTAAAGTCTAGACAATGTCCTAATTAATCAAACTTATCTTATGGCCATTCCCCGTAGCTTTAGCCTTTAGGTTCTATATATATATAGTATAGTTTAGATAGGAAGAAATATAGCTATTCAAAGAATGGAGTAATTTCTTAAGTTCAAAGTAAAACTGCATTTTAAGAATGAGCATGCATCTGCATGCTTTTCCAAGCTATATAATTCAACTTTTATTTCTCTATCTATCGTTCTTTCATAACAAACCTTCCTGACTAGATCCCCTTGTATTTTACCATGCATCCCTACCTGTTGAGATCAATCAGTTTAATTCAAACCTACGTCAGTAATTATGAACCCGAAGGTATTTTAAACAAAAATTGCACAACTAATTTAAGCTTAATCACATTAATTAGTTGAGAGTTGCCGAACCCTATTTGTCTTATTACTTCCAAACAATCGAAGATGAACCAAACAAAGTCCATATTTGTTTTATTTAAAAGATTTATTGACAATTTAATTAATGACATATATAATAGATGTTGCTGCTTTGTTTTCTAGGTCAAGTTCAATGTGAATGAGAGTAACGACATTAGCTAATAGCTTAAGATAATTATTAATCATGAAGAAGAACACTAGGCACAAATTATATTCATTACATTCTATTATGTGACCTACATGTACATAGAGGTGACCATTGGTCCCTTAATTCATCAAAACGTGCAGTTATGATCATTTTCATCAATTCTGTCAGAACTTTTGTAAAAATGAGTCATGTTGGAAAAAACTATTGCTACAATTTAATTAACGTTGAGAGATCATTGCTTCAATCAGGTTAAAGTTGAGGAACCATTTCTTTAATTGGGTTAAAGTTGAGGGACATTTGCTACGATTTTCTCATTTAGTTTTTCATATTTTTCTCTTGATTCAGCCTCCCGTACATGGTACATGACTCATATTGACATAAATTCTAACGGCGTTGACGAGAATGATCATAGATGCATGTTTTGATGAGTTAAGGGACCAAGATCGTGGATTTTTAGTTGATGGATCATTACTCCAATTGAGTAAAAATTAAAAGACCCTTGCTACAATTCCTCTTATATATATTTAATTTCCTACCTATCTTATATATATATATATATATATATATATATTTAATTTCCTACCTATAAATTATTAATTAATCTCAGCAATTTTGATGTGATGAATATTGTTAGGTAGCAAATAATATCGTATGAAAATTTTATAGTGCATGGTAGAGAACTTCTAATGTTAGTTGTCTACTCGTTACCACATCAAGTCAGTAATTCTAAACAATTATATGCGTGTGAGTAATCGCTTTTACTATAGCTCAGTTCATATAAATATCCCCATTACCCATAACTTAAGGGAGAACCAATACTAATCTGTATCTTCACCACATATAATTTGTCTGTCTTAATTAAAAGGAATAAATTAAAATAAAGTCTTAACTTGTTGCCCAAGCTATAATATATATATATATATATATATATATATATATATATATATATATATATATGCACATAAATTAAAGAAATGTGGACATGCAGTTTATCCTTGAGCTTTTCAGAAGCTTAATGGGAAAAAACAAGTAGGTAGCCTATAAAATGGAAAACAACAAGGAGACAGAAGCTAGAATATCAAACATGGTTCAAATTATAAATACTTGGTCAATAATTTCAAAACTTTAAGAGTCCAGATTCCATTTCTTGATCACAAATCGCTAATCATTCCAAATGGTAACAAAAAGATTGCTTAGTAATCATCGAGGAGGGTCGATGCAATTGAGGAAGCTAACATCAACACAACAATGTAAAAACAACGGGATCCAAACATCACCACGCATTCCTCCATGTTTTCCTTGATTATCTTATGATTAAAACCGAATTTACGGACCGAAGCAGCATTAGGATGCTAATTAAATTTCATAACATATTAAGACTAGTGACTCATGAATTGCTAATTGACACAAGCAAAGGAGCCCCATGGATAAAACCAACACAAAAGACGGAAAAGGCATAATATATGTATTATATTGTGTAATGAAAAGTTTGAAAACGATGTTTGAATAAACAAAAGCAAATTAGGGTTTTGATATGGACATCGAAAAATTTAAACAAAATGGAAAGAAATTTAAGGAGATGGGGAGGATATTTTAGATTTGTAGTCAACCATCAAGGTTCAACTTCGTCAATTGGATTTCCATTTCAGGGTTTGTCTGGTTTTAGGTTTAAGCAGGCACCGCTGTCAAGTATATTCCACATTTGCGTAATTATCGAGCAACTTTGTTAAGTTTGCGTTACTAGTTTCCTTTTGTTGATTACAAATTTGCGGGGTTCCTTAACAACTCAAGCAAGAACTTGTAATGTTACTTTTGTAGAGATGATCTGCCCTACAAACGCGGGCCTCAGAAGTGATTTCTTGGATCGAAAATCTTTAAGTTGTTCTACATGAATGTTAAGAAGCTTAGGTTGGGGTTTAGGATTTAGAGTTTAGGGTTTAGGATAACACGAAAATAAATTTTATGATGTGTTTTGTAGAGATTTGCAAAATTTTATGATGGGTTTAGGATAACACGAAAATAAATTTTATAATGTGTTTTGTGAATAATGCAGCTATTAATGTTTTAAATAATGGGGAGGAATATTTGAATTTTGATGAAAATGGGGGAGCACGGAGGAGCACACTACATTATACAGAGTCCCATTCTCCGAAATCCCCAAGTCCAAAGAAATTGCTGTCACCCACCGTTTGATCTTAACCAAATGATAGAAGAGAGTACAACAACAAAAATTAAACGATCACCTACCACCAAATTAAATCAAAAAATAAGCGACCACTATTTTCTTGAACCATGGTGTTTAAGAATGCGACTCGCATTAAACAAAGTGTTGTATTCACAATATGATGATAGCCCGACGGTTTAGATTTTCTTGTGAACTCGGCCAAGTTGCCTAGTCCATCTTGATTAGATTATAAAATTGATATCCACCCAGCCCAGCTTAATCTATTGATGTATTAGGCCCAAGTAAAAATTGGTAGGCACATCAGATTTCGGCCCGGCCCACGAAGTTGTAGCACCGCTTTTCTTTTTGTGGATGTCTGTATATTCTGTGAAGCAAGTAGTTAGGTACAAAAAAAACACATTCATGATTTCACTTGTACAATTTACATGATGAAGCTTCAAAAGCTTCAGAAAATTGAGTCAAACCGGACAACTCTGTACTCACATCTTGAATTCCAGGAGATCATATACGGGTGCGAAACGCCTTTTCCGATCAGCCCCATTCAGCACAACCTCAAACAATCTGCTCTACCTCATTGAACAAATAGTGAATTTGCCTCAAGGGACCTCCTTGTGCAATATTCGAATGCTCTAACCGGGTTGGCATTTTTCGCTGTACATACAATGTTACAAACCTCTATCCGAATGTTCATCTTCTATCCTTGTGTCTGCAGCATTAGCAACAACACTATCATCAAAAGCTGCACCAACGATAGAGCTTCCCCGAGCTCTTTGAGACCTTGGTGTTGTTGACTTATTTTGTAATGTCTCACCCTTTCTCTTCCTCCTTGTCGTAAAGAGATCATGCTTAAGAGCTTCCTGCACTTTTGTGGTCAATGGCCGGTTCCTTGTACTCTGCCTCTGGCTCTTAATGAAAGGCTGCTTCCTTGTTTCTGATAGACTGCTTATCTTCTTCACACTTGAGTCGTCATTACTTTGTGCCACATCCTTGATCACTGGTTCAGGAAGCTTCGGTATCTCAAGCTGGCTTGTCTCAGATAGAAATGAATCAAATGATGACTTGTTTGCACCTGAGTTGTCATTATGTTGCATCATGTCCTTGGTCAACAGTTCAGGAAGCTTCAGTGGCTCAGGCTGCTCGCTTGTTTTGGATAGAAATGAATCAAATGCTGACCCGTTCGCACTTGCGTTGTCATTATTTTGCATTGTGTCCTTGATCAAGGGTTTATCAATGTCCGCATCTGTTGGAACATAAGGAAGGTTCAAGTCAATGCATATCCAAGATTGCGATTTTTCGGAGTGCAGGCCTACACGCGAACTATGTAAGTTTGATTCGACAAGGGGCTCATCTGGAGTTAGCTTCTTATCCACAGACACATTTTCATCACTGGAGCTTGAGTCTCCATCATTACAATCAGTCAAATCCTTCTGTTTTCTTTCAGGGGCCAAATATCTCAAATCGTCTGACTTCATCGTGGGGATGCAGTTATAATTCGTTGCCTTGCTTGGAGACTTGTCATTGAGAAGATTTAAACATTGAGATTCATGGATACTAGTTACGCAATCTGAGGAGTCGAGAAATGTTGTCCTGTCAATTATATCCTCAGCGGGGTTTGAGGTAGTTTTTTCTTCTTCTGCATCATCTTTTGACTCTTCATATATATCTTGTTCGGTTTCAGTAAAAGGATTGGAGGGAGTACTTATACTTTCAGTTTGAACAGGCAAACTCCTCAGTTTTCGTACCTTCGATTGTTCTGCTTCTGCTACATGAAGCATACTTGTATCCACAATTGTAAACTTCATTAGATCTATATCCCCATTTGTGCTCCTGTGTGGAAGGAGGTAATGACGGTGTTGCTTATTTAACATATCAACTTCATTGAATTTAGCTGATTCCTCTTCTCTGCCTTTAGCTGCTTCATTATCAAGCTCAAGAATATCGGGGTTAGACGCCACATTCTTCAAGACCTCATGGACAGAATCAAAGTACTGATTACCTCTCACAAGGCGCCTTGAAAACTTCTCTATACCAGGTACAATAAACACCAAAGACAGATTACGCTGCTCGGAATGCCATCCTCGTGCTAAAAGACGGGGCCAAACAGCTTCCCAGAAAAGATCATTCGACCGCTTTTTACTCAACTTTAAATCTCCTGTTAGATACTTGATGATCTCTGGCGTTGTAAGGGAGGAACAGGCTTTTCCAATCGGTACTTCTGGACGAAAAGAGATGGCAAGACTGTTCTTTGTTGGCTTCAAAGTAGTGCCGGTAAGGTCTTGCTTCCCTTTTCCAATACCTACTGCTTCTATAAGCATACAAACGCCAACAATGTCCCTTAACTTGAATATATATTCTTCAAATAAAATCTTTCCCCCTGCAAAACATCTCGAACTCTGCACAAAAGATAGAAACTTGTTAGGTTTTCGGAACAGATCATACGCTTTCCTTACCATACTCATGCATCTAGCTGCAAGTGCAAATCACAACAGAAACAATATCATGAAGTTAACACAAGAACATGACATTCAAGAAGCCACCAGAAGTATGCACGTCAGCAAAGAAAAATTATACGAACAATGCATTCTAAACATGAAAGTTGCACTGATACCTAATGATGCATTCTTATACGATGATTCATCTTCCCACTCATTGCAAGCAGATAAGGACACAACTAGTGCAAAATAACATTGAAATAACTACCTCCATCAGCATATCTTCGCAGTCCTTGGACACACGAGAAAACAATCTTGATAACAGTTCCTTCTGCCTCCACCCCGTAAACACTTTTTCCCCTTGTATACAGGGGTTACCTTTTAACTTCCTACACTTTGACCATCTGCGATATCCATCAGAACCATAGAACTTTCCATAGTAAAAATACAGTACATCCCCCATATCCATACTTCCAATAAATCGCTTCACAAGAGTAAGATTCTTCCCAAATATATACAGACCGAGGAGAAAACTATCTTCCTCAATTTTGCTCCAAGGTTTGATCTGAGAGTCTTCGACATCCTTTGCATCTCCCAACACAGCATTTCGAGGTTTAACTTCAAGTTCTGAAATTTCATTTTCTTTACTGCTTCCAACAGACTCTACATTTCCCTTGAACTTTCCAGCTTCACAATGTTTCCATGGGATAGGTAATCCCAGTGAAAATGACAGATCAAGGACTTCTGAATCAGCATGCTTGTTTGTAATCTCCAACCGCTCGAATTTAGCAATCAAGGGTGGAATATCCGCCTGATACTCATTTCCGATTCGAGGAACCACCTGTGGATGTACTGCAGATTTATCTGTGACATTCTCCATGTAGTCATCCAAATGCTAAAAACCTATATGCCAGAACAGAAAAACTTGAAATTACATGACTGTCTGTTACGTCAAAGTATTAATTGCAACATCCCAATTAAAAAAAAAAACATCAAAAGCTTGTACCTTTATTACAAAATCTACTGAAACAGGATCAGAAAATTTTCAATTTTGGTGCCAAAAAGCTCTCTGAACTCAATAATTTAAATGCATTGTTCATCGCAAATGGACTAATCAACCAACAACCAAATACGAAAAGAGCAGTAACCCGAAAAAACCAGAACATTGTCAATTTTGGTGCCAATAAGCTCTCTGAATCTAATAATTATATGCATTGTTCATCACAGATTAAATCAGAAGTTAGGTAATCAAGCCGCAACTAATACGAAAAGAACACTATCCCGAAAAACAAGCATGCTTCCATAAGAAAATTTCTAATTATGCAAATGCAGATCAGCAAACAACTTTATGCAGCAAAATGAATCATACTTTTAGTATCAAGCATTAAAGAAAAATGAGCAAAATTAAAGAAACCCAAGTAAAATAAATCAACTAAATAGCTATCGAGTACTCATTTTGAAGTAATAATTAAAAGAAATATAAATAAGAACATCAAGATTGAGTTATACATATTAAACAGTAAAAACAAACTGTCAAAATAAGAATAGAACGAGGCTTGAGAGCAAAGCATGCAAAAGAACGAGGGAGTTTTAACGTAAAACTTCCAGTACTTTTCATTTTAACTAAAAACCATATTTTTATGCTATAAAGTCAATATATTCAATACTATTCACTTTACTTTTTATTTTGCCATGATTGTTAAAATTCAAAATTTTCAAACTATTTTTATTAATTTTCCTAAAGAATGATTGGAAGAGAGAGAATATTTGCTCATAAACTATCTAAAACCTCCATGGCCATGGAAGCAGTTGATCACGTTAAAACCCACGTGAGAAAAATGAACCTGGGTAAATGCTCCTGTTGCATTAACCTCGATTGTCAACTATTTTTTCAAAGAAAACAAGAATATCAAAGAAAGAAAAGAAATACAGAATATATATATTAATTAAAGAAAATGGAGAGAGAGAGAATGACAGAAGCGTTTTAGAGAGAGAAAGATTTTACCTTTTTACACGAGGCGAGAGAGTTGAGCTTTCATGGATGTAGAGAGGAAGTTGAAATCTCGAGGACTTGCAAAGGAAGAGGCACAGAAAAAACGAGAAGAAATAAAGAGCAAATAGAAAGAAATAAAGGCGAAGCTTCTATTTATACTGACTGAATTACCAAAACACCCTTGGTCAAGTTTTTTAATTTTGTTTCTTGTCTATGAATGGGTAATAATAGTAGTTTCTTTTTCTTTTTCTTTTTTCTTTTTATTTTTTTTTTTTTATATTTTATTTAAAACAAACTCAATTTTATTTTGGGGTTGTCATTTGGCACTCGAGAAAAGTCATAATACTCCCATCCGATATCAAATAGTAAAGGAGAAATTGCAATTCAAAGAGCACAAGATCAAGGTAGTAGCTAGCTCGAGTAAGCTGCGGCCTAGGGCTAATTTTGGATTTCTGAAAAATTGCATGAAAAAAGTAGTTTAATTCAAGGGAACTTTAACAAAAAGTTCCCGATACTGTTCACTTTAACGAAAACCACATTTTTACACTAAAAAGTCAATTATGGTACTATTCATTTTACCTTTTATTTTGTCCTTATTGTTAAAACTCAAAGTTTTCAACCTTTTTTCATTAGTTTTCTTTTAATTTCAATACTAGCACAAACTTCTTTCTAGCAAAATTAACCTATCTTGAACAAAAAGGAAAACATAGCCCATCCTTATTAATATTCCTAGCTCCGCCCTTAAAATTGAGAAATCTTGAGAAAACCTTAAAGAAATTAGGACAAAAAAAAGAAAAACTCATCAACCCCACCACAGGATTTCGTCCATCAGAAGTATATAACAACATTGACTCCATCTCTCGAAGCTATAACAAGACCATTTTACTTGCCATAAAGAGAGATTAGGTGTTTACCAAAAAAAAAAGAAAAAAAAAGAAAAAAAAAAAAAGCGAGATTAGGTTTTAAAAACATTACTATAAAAAAGAGACGGTTAGATACTTCTCTTGATTTGGTATACGAAATTCATGTACCTATGTTCCAATATCAGATAATAATTTATTGTACAAACAATGTTGGATTTGCAACATTGTTCATTCTAACTTTTTCACCATGACGTCAAAACAGAAGGACTCTGCAGTACCTAAATGCCACGTATGACCATTTATTTTCAAAATCCCTCAAATTTATTTATTTATTTTTGGAAATTGGGAATAATATTACCAAGGCAAAGAAACCACAACATTACAAGAAGCCTACACCGAGGCTAGCAACAACTAACCAACAAAAAACCAAGCAGCGAAGGGGTTAAGGAGTGAAGATGCTAGAACCGAATTCGAGCATCACCCCCTCCACTACTATAAAAGTCCAAGGAGGACAAGGTAATCCATCATTATTTAAAACAAAAAGCAATGAAGATGGAGGTCTATTGACCCATATGACATTGCACATCTTTGTCTTGTTGCGCGACGCCAACCTGTCCGCCGCCAAATTTGCAAATGATGGATTTACTACAAGTTCATCCAATAGTGAAACGAATTGGAGCACTTTTGAGGGGATATACAAAGAAAAGAAATAAACTAGATACAACAAGGTTAAATAATTTTGTCTATGTCCAATATAACGCTAGGATCATGAACAAGAAGAATTTAGTCCATTCTTTTATTATCCATACAAGTATAATTTTTTTAGGTGTAAATAGGCACTTCTTTACAAGATATATAATAAATTTACATAAATCCACATGGGCCGCCTAGGCGATAGGCCTTTGTCCGCCGCCCAACTAATGCCTAGCGATTTTTAGAACCTTGCCATTAAGACATTTATTTGTAGTTAATAAAATGGATGAATGCAGTTCCACAAATAAACTCTAAACTCTTAATCCAACAATCATATAGTTTCAGATTGAGATGATTTTTGGTAGACATGATTTTTTAGCTAGGGAATACCTAAAAGAAAGACAGTTCAGATTGTTAAAATACATTACGAAGTCAACTCCACAAAAACATGTGTAAAAAAAAGTGGTGCCACACATACACACACACTAGGCCATTATGTTCGTCAAAATGGTTCAAGAGTGTATTATATTGGTTAATTATGTGATTTTTTTTGTCACTTATATACGCTTTGAAGAGAATAATTAAAAGAGAAATGTCAAAATTACCATCACAAAAGTTGAGTGCGATTTCGTTTGTTTCTTCATATTGATTTTCCTAAATTCTTGTGATTAGTCATGCTTTGGTTAAGGTACCTAAAGAAAGTATACATAAAATTGTGAAACAGGAAATATAATGGCAGTACTTTACGTACCAAAACCCTAATTTTTTTTAAAAATTAATCGGAGCAACAAAGATGCCCACTAGAGCAAGTAAATTGGAGAATCCAACGAAAGTAGGAAGGTGTGGCCCCAAACTGTATATGACAATACGACGCGCATTTTTCTGAGGTCCACTTAATTTTTGTCCTCTGACTAAGCCTCTAAAAACTTAGAACCGTCTTAATCTCACATCATTAGTTGATTGAGGGAAATGTATGTTCTACCCCACCGAGTTCCCAAAATAATCACGCAAGGATGATGATTGTGCTGGAAAAGTAAGAAATATTGGAATTAGGGTTCTCAAGCCTAATTAGTTTTCGTGGTAGTTAATAAAAACCAAAATGACTAGCTAATAGCATACTTGGAAGATATGAGAGCCATGAGTGTGTGTGTCCTTATCCTTGTACTTTTTCGCACGATCTGCCTGCTGATCAACCAGATTTGAGAGTAGGTATATATTTTCATTGAACAACCACAAATATTCATGTTCTCTAAACAGTGGTTTCACGCTGAGAAATCGTACGGGAAGAAGCAGAAACATTGGTTTCAGCTTGAACTCCAAAAGCAGCACCTTTTTGCCACTAGCAGTAACCATGGGACGAACATATATATATATATATATATATATTTACAAAGATGTGGTGGTATATATTATTGCCTGGGATATATTCTTTTGACATTGTTAAATTTTAATTTCAAGAAGTATACATTTAATTACGAATATGCATGTAAAAAGTTGCAGCCTTATTAAGTTTTAGCTTTTGTTATCACCATCCAATATGTTCTATCCTCAAAGAAGTAATGTAAGTTGTAAAATTAAAGAAGCAGTACATGCAATGACAGTGAGGATGTGAAGAAACGTTTGTTATCAAAAGTTTTTAAAACATTTATAAGGAGTTGGGCTGCTTCGCACATATCAAAGACAAGCTTTATGTTGTCATTCTTGTTGTGGAGTTGGCTCCTGCAGATTGGTACAATTTATGGCTTGAAAGTGACTCTTTTAGAGTGATATCTTGTTTTGTTTCTGGTTCTTTTTCTCCTCCTTGGTCGCCAACGACAAAGCTAGAGATCTGCATGGATGAGGGCATTCTCAAACAACAAAGTCACAAATTAAAAGGTTTGAGAATGTAGTAAACAAAACGCTTATATATTAATTCATAATGTTTTTCATACAACAAATTAACTCAATGTGTTTTCATGTATTTAAAACATTGCATACAACTTCATTTTGGACTTCCCTTCTTGATGTGTGATTTTCTTTTTTACCTAATCTTTTTAGATTTTCCTTTTTTTTGTTTTGCAACTTGTCTTGCATGTTCTTACCTTTTAAATTTTATTTTAAAGGGGTTTAGTCCTATGTCCACTCCCTCTTTTTCTTGTATTTTCTTTTTCAAGAGAGGTAAAGTTTATGTCCCATTTTTCTTGTATTTTAGTTTTCTTACTTTATGACGGGTGAGGTGTATTCATTGATTAAGTGTAACTTCTTTTTTTCATATCAATAAATTTTCCTTGTACTGTTGAGGTTTTTCAAAAAAATAAAAAAAGAAAAAAGAAAAAAAAATACTGAACTACATAATGTTTTGAATTTTCTTCATTAGCTAGCTAAATTACATCATTCAGACAGGAACTGAAAGGGATATATTGTGTAAGTCTTAGCTTCCAATTTACCCTACAAATTAATTTTCAAAGGACGTCATAAATAAGTGTAATTTCTTAGTTTTTTCTGTCTGAACCTTCTCTATGTCTGGCTCTAATTTATATATAAAATGCCCAATTTGGCAAGTTTATTGTCCTTTTCATCTTCAGACAGACCTCAGCTCATCTATAAATTAGTGTTATCCCCTTTCAGGCAACTAGGTCGTCTCACGATCAAGATTATATGGAGAAATGTGACTGCATAAGTTAAGATAAGTGTCTATGACTTTTTATTAGAACAACCGCAACACATAATGTTTTCCTGCATAGATCAACGGGTTTGTGTTGTCGTTGACTGCACATGTTTTTCCATTCATAGGCTACTTAGATTTAATTAATTGAGTATATATTATGACTTGATGTTCTTCAACATATGCATATGAGTAATAGTGTCATACATGTTTCTTTCTCATGATTTGTCGAGGACAATTTGAAAACACTAATACATATGTTAAAAAGAAATTAAATGTATGGTTACAGACAATTTGCTCAATATTCTGTTTAACGTCTATCATAATTTA